CCGCTGGACATTTTACTGGCTGCACAGGCTTGCCTTTCCCAGAATGCCACATCGCTGAAATCATGCAATGCCCAGACTTTTCAGACCGGCTTCTTTCAGGTAATAACTTGCATTTCGGATTCTCCTCCATGTCTTCTCAGGGCTGGATCGCTCACTTGTTCTCAGTGCTGAACGTCCCATGGTCTGGGTGGACCATCGTTTCTTACTCATCTACCTACTGAGGACATCTTGGTTGCTTTCCAGTTTTGCCAGTTATGAACACAGCTGCTGTGCAGGGTTTTGTGTGGACATAGTGTTCAGCTCCCTTGGGTGAATACCGACGAGGACGATTGCTGGATTGCAGGGGAAGAGGATGCTTAGCTTTGTGAGGAGCCGTCATATTGTCCTCCAAGTGGCCGCATCGTTGACATCCCCACTGGCGATGCGGCTCCCCCTCCTAGCCAGCATTGGATGTCAGCGTTCTGGATTCAGGCCTCGCTAGTAGGTGTGCAGGGGTATCTCACTGTTTTCATTTGCATTTCCCTGATGACATGTGATGTGGAGTATCTTTTCACGGGCTGATTTACCCCCCGTACATACGTCTTCTCTGGGGAGGTGTCTGTTCAGGTCTTGGGCCCTGGAAGCAGCCACAGCAACCAGAGAAGGTGGGGCTGAGGTGGGGCCGAAGGATTAAGGGGAAGCTGTAGTCACGGGGATTTGTGACCCATCCTACCGGGACTTCTCCTCGAGGTGTTTCTGTGAATCATTAGTTTGTAAAATAGCAGAACCAAGCGGGACCCGAATCTTCCCTTGTGTGTGTCATACAAATGAGGAATCGAGAAACACGTCCAATGTCACAGATGGAGTCAAAAGCAGACTTAGGAATCAACCTCAGTTCTTGAAACGTGGCCAAACAATTTCTCAATATCCCCACGTTGCCTGTACCTTGAGAGACCGAAGCAAGGTTTGTTTGGGTTGGCGAACTTCTGTGGTGGGAGGCCTATTTGAAAAGAGAATGAAAGAATAGGTCCCTCATTCTCTCCATAAAAAAGCTATTTCAGCACAGAATTGGGCAGTCAGCCTAGGACGGGTTTAACATGTATCCAACCCTGGCTGGTGTGGCTCAGTGGGTCAGAGCCTCAATCCCATAAATCAGAAGTTCCTGAGTGCGATTCCTGGTCAGGGCACATGCTTGGGTTGCAGGTTTAGGTCCCCCATGGGGGCCACGTGAGAGGCAACAGAACAATGTTTCTCTCTCGCATTGATGTTTACCTCCCTCTCTCTCTTCTTCCCTCCCCCTCTCTAAAACCAATAAGCGTGTCTTTAGGTGAGGACAAAAAGATAAATAATATATAATAAAAATAAAATATATTCAGACTATTGGACAATAAGGTTAGAATTAAGGGAACCATGTGATAAGATCAGATTCCTTTATATAGACTTTGGAAGGCTTTCAGGGAAGAATAACTTTGTAGTTCAAATATTTGATTTTAGATGAGCTAGTTGAGAGTACGCTCAAGCCAGCGTGGAAGACAGCAACATTTCCTCTTACTGCAGCCAAGATTGGTGGTTTCCTCCCTCCCCTGTCCTGGCCCCCTCCACGCCACCCCCCCCCCCAATCACAGACACTGAAAGTCAAGCTCACCCCCACCCAACTGTATTTGAGGGACCAGGACAGTGATGATAATATATTTATACATGGTATGCCTGTGGTGAGGTTTCTGATTCCTCTGCCTTCATTCCCCACCCCCAACCCCACCCAAAGATGGACTAGAGACAAACCCTCACCTGTGGGATCCATGATGAAACGAGGCATCACATGGAACTCAAGGGCAGGAAATCAAGTGGGGTCACCCAGTGCGTTCCAAACAGTGATCAGAACTGTAGTATTTACGTAATAAACAGAGTCCAGATCTCAGTGGCTCAACGCAGTGAGTTTATTTCCGGCTCATGTCCCAGTCCCAAGCAAGTGGGGAAGAGAAGCTGCGATGCACACAGGAACTCGGGATCCCAGGTTCCTGCCTTCTCCTCCTTCCTCCTGGTCCTCGGAGTGGTCTCCGTGCACAGGCGGGTGCTGAGAGGAGTGTGACGGGCCAGGCCCGGAGCTGGATCACATCACTCCCACAGAACCCGGTCGTGCAGCTACGTTCAACTGGAAAGGAAGACGGGAAATTCGATCTAGCTGTGTGCCCAGGGGAAAGCGGGGACCGTGGATACTGGGGGTCACTAAAGTTGGTTATCTGAGGGTCCATCTCTCTCTTGCTGTAGGGTCGCTCCCCTCTGCTTCAGACCCGCCCTGTTCTTTTCTATGCTGGCCAGATTTCTGCTTCCTTAGTCACGTCCCTGGTCCCCAGTCGTTTCTTGAACATTTCAACTATCTCCCGCTGCGAACCGTTAGCTTTAACATTTCTCCAATTTGAAAATTCGGCTTCCAGTTCTACACTGTAGCCAGTGGGTACAGAGGATTTCTAGTTTCATCAAGACGGGTTTTGAGTTTCTGCCTCTTGCTCTCTGTGTTGGCTTTTGGAAAACCACCAGAAAGCTTTGTTTTACCCTGGCATTTGATACTGGAAGTACCTAGGGAAGGTATTATATATTTGTTTTGTTTTCAGGTAATAAATCTTGAAGATAAACCATCGGTCTCCTTGGCCAACACTACCAGTCCCATTTCTGAGTCTCCTCTGCTGCCTTGTATTTGGTGGGTACCCTTTGGTGTGTAGCATCAATAGCTTGCTATTTTATGAGATTTTTAAAAATATATATGAATATTTCCTATTACATGATATCAGCAATCTGACTTCCCAAGTAAACTTTTTTTGGGGATGAATTGTCTCCATGTGGATTCACGCAAATTTGTTTAAACTTTTCTATAGCTTATCAAGGCATGAAAATTTAACTATTTCACAAATGAGAGCCCTTTAGGGTGGTTTCCATGTCTGATGTTTTGGGGCAACGTCTTGACTTGCCAGTGTATCTGGAAGAGAAATTGCTAAATGATAGCTTATGTGTGTTTTTGGTTTTCTTAGGTGTAACCCATCACTCTTCTGAGTGGCTGTACCACTCACACCTCCATCGGCAAACTGTTAGAGTCTCTGAGGGTGTGTATGGTGGACTTTTAACTCTTGCCATTCCGATGGGTGAAAAATGGCGTCTCGGTTGTTTTAAGCGGCGTGTTTCTGACAACCAGGGAGGCGGAGGTTCTCGGTGTTCACCTGGCCCTCTCTGTCACAATGACACCCCTTTGCTGGCTGTCCCTCTAGTCAGAGTCCTTTTTTGTAAGAGCTCAGTTGATTTTCTTATTGACCTGTAGAAACCCTTCAGGCGTTTTCCATTCTATGTCTACATCTGTTATCATGATCCCAAATGTTTACTTCAAAGCTATCATATACTTTTTAACTCTTTTGTGTTTATGATTTTTGTGTCTATGTGGTCAAATGTATCAGTTATTTTCCTCCTTCTTTGGGCCTTGCTTAAGAAAGCCTTTTTATTCTGAGATAAGGAGAGCATTTAAAAATATTTTATTTATTTATCTTTAGAGGGGAAGGGAAGGAGAGAAGGAGAGAAATATCAATGCGTGGTTGCCTCTCGTGCATTCCCTGCTGGGAACTGGCCTGCAACCCAGGCATGTGCCCTGACTGGGAATCGAACTGCAATCCTTTGGTTTGCAGGCCTGTGCTCAATTCACTGAGCTACACCAGCCAGGGCAAGGATAGCATTTTTTATTAAATATTTTATTGTTGTTCTGTTACACTTGTCCTAATTTCCCCCCTTTGCCCTTCTCTGTCTAGCCCACCTCCCACTCCCACAGTCGATCCCCACACTGTTGTCACATCCTGTCCATATCCGTGGGTCGTTTGTACATGTTTGAGGTAAGTCTCGCATTTATTGAGAACCTGCTAAGTGGCCGTCACTGGACTATTCATTTTACACATTACGGCCCTTCATCCTCATAGCTGTACGGGGATCAGCACCGCTGTCAGCATCCCCATGTCATAGACAACAAAACCGAGGCTCAGCGGGACAAAGTCACTGGCCCCAAATTACAGAGCCGGTCATCTGCAGACACAGGAGTTAAACCCATCTCTGCTGGACTCCAAATGCCCCCTTCTTTCTACGTCACAGGCAGTGGGAGAAATCCCCCGGCACACACAGGCCTTTCATTATTCCTCCTCTCGCCCACCACGTTCTAGGTCAGACTCAGTGGGTTAAGGAAGACAGAGACACAGAGAAAGCTTACGTGTGTTTATTCACCAATCAACAGGCATTTCCTGCTTGGGCCAAGCCTCCTGTTGGATGCTGGGGGTGCAGAGATGAAAGAGGCCAAATTTAGCCGCCACGGAGGTGTTGGCCACATCTTCATCAAGGTACTCTCATTTTTCTCCAGGCTTGGGACATACCTGGAAGTCCTCATCTTACTGAGTTGACAAGAATAAATCTGTGGAAAGAAAAGAAAACAGGGCCTCAGCACAGGAACATCCAAGCGACCCTTAACATCCTCCCCACCAAGAGGGGCCTCCTGGCCCAGGCCTTAAGTTCCTCGGGACAAAGAGAGAGAGAGCTCATGGTGCTGGGAGAGGTGAAGGGGGCCGGTCCAGAGCCTTTCCGATCTTAAAAAGCACTTTCACGTTTCTTATAGTATTTCAGTGGCTACAATTGCATCCATTTTCCAGATGGGAAAACAGAGGCTCTGAAAGATACAATCAGTTGCTCATAGACACCCAGTCAGTCAGGGGCAGAGATGACATTAAAAGATAGAACTCGTGTCCCTTTTTATGGCTCCTTCCTCCTGCCTCATTCCAAGAGTCCTTCCTTCCCAGGACCCAGCACTGCCACTCACAGGTGGCCTTGGGGACTTCCTGTTTGGAGAATTGGTGGTAAGTGGTGTTGAAAGGCAGAGGGTCTGCTTGGTGGTGGGGGGTGACGGGGATGCCAAGCAACCTCCTTTACGTGGAAGGGCACCAGCAGGTTGAGGCTGCATTAGGACGTGTGAGACGTGGGTCTTCTCGCATCTCCTCCTTACCTCACACTGGCTTCACGCACGAGTTCCCGCATGTCCCTCTGCAGCACTTGAGACCACGCAGGCAGTGGCCGTCATTCAGGCAGTCGTCTTTTGGGTTGAGCATCTCACACTGGCCGGCGACCACTGGGCACTTCCCAGGATTGACCTTAACTGGTGAGGAGAAAGCCCCAGCTCAGAGGCTCGATGCCCGGGACACCGCCCAGCTCCCGGCCCCGTCTCTACCCCATGCAGGGAAATCAGGTCCTCTCCCACCATGGTAACCAGACAGACCCCGTGCACACCCCGAAGGAGACCCCTTCCCACTGAGGGAGCCCTGACCACCTGAGAGTGCCAAGCTGGGCAGGGACGAGCCTGGCTCTGCCCCACCACCCAGCCCGGGTCAGAGGACCACCCTCCACTTCTCCAAGATGCGTGTCCTCAAGCTCCAATCTCCCTGGTCCCCTTTCCTAGACTCTACTGCCTCACCTGGCTGTGACGGGTCCACAGGATCCAAGCATCTGATACCACAAAGGTGAGGACAGCATTTCTGTTTCCGTGGACAATGCCAGTCACTGCGGCATTCAGGGCGTTCGTATAGGAGACACTTCACTGGGCGTGAGAAGGGGCAGTCTCCCTGTTTAGCTCTTTCTGAAGGGTAAGAACAGAGGAGGGAGCAGGAGCTGATTCTGAGTCATGGCCACCATCCTGGCCAAGGAATCAGCTTCCCAGGAAGGGGAAGAAAACTTACCCCAGGCGGCTGACCCCGAAAGAATGGAGGGAGCAGCTCAGCCAAGCACTCAGCCAAGAGGGGGGTCAAAGGCCCAGAAAGAAGGTACAGAGGGTGGTGTGCTGATAAATGTCGTAAGAAGCAGACTTGGTAGCATTTGCCAATTTCCATGGTGTAAATACTCCCACCGTGATTGATTTCCAGCTACCAATGTGATGTCACCTAGTTCATACAAGTCTTGAAAATGTGCCGATTGGCCACTGCGGGCCAGTATGAGCCTTCTCCAGGACACGGCTGCATAAAGCTCATTAGGTGATCCTGGCCCACCCATCCTGGCTGGGAGGGAAGCAGCGAAGGGACAGCAATAGTGGGAGGGACAGCTCATTGGAGACTGGAAGAAAGAGAACAGATGAACAGATAAATAGCAGAAGAGAACGGGACCGTCAAAAAGCTCTAAGACACGCATTTAGAAAGTTAAACAGAAGGAGACCAAAGTGATGTGACAGAGAAAAGAGACCAAACTGTAGCAAATTGGGGGCCAGGGGCCGGACCATGGGAAAGACGGCTTCCAGGTCAGCCTGCAGGAACCTGGATGGGCCCAGAGGCTCTGCCTCACCTTTGCTAGCACCTTCCACAGCCCAGGACACTGGGGTTCCAAGGGCCAGGAGCACCACGAAGGCCACGAGGCTGGTAAGCTTCATGGTGAGGGCAGGCGGGGCTGCTGGCCAACGTCAGCTTTGTCCCTTATACCAGCCCATGGGTGTGGTCCCACCAGAACCGCCCCTGCCCTCCCTGCTACGGTTCCATAAGCAGACAATTCAGACAGGGAAGGTGACCTTGCCAACCGCCCGGAGGGTCGGCAGTTCTTTTCCACACCAGACAAGAGCGTGAGGCTTGGGAAGGAGAATGTAGGACTTGGAGGGGGAGGTGTCAGGGGGTTGGTCAGGAGGCCATTCTGGAACATCTTAGGGGACGCTTTAGGGTGGGTAGGGGAGGGGGAAAGGGGAGAGGAAAGAGCAGAACAGAAGGGCATTGTGAAGGAGCTTCTTAGAAACCTGTCTGTCTCACACTCCAGACTCCTGGGGACTGCCCGGGGCCACTCCCTCACCCAGACTTGGAGTGGCGCCCTCCTTGGCTCTCCCCTGACTCGTTCCCACATCATACTTGTAGTTCCAGGGACTCCGCCAGTCACAGGGGGTGTTTCTCAAAGAATCCTTGGTACCTAACAGGTGAAGCAGGCACAGCAATAAACACCTCTTCGGGCCTCAGTCTTAGCAGCTGTGAAGTGGGGGTAACAAAAACTGACCTGGTGCCCGAGCAGGATCGGAGATGCCAAGGCGGAAGGACATTGAGGAGAGTGAGCGCACTCCTTCCTCCTTGAAATCCATGTGGAGGAAATGGCACCTGAGCCACTTTTTCTGAGATCAGCTGAGAGGATTCTTCTCAGCAATCAGGTGAGCAGCCGGATGGGGGCGGGGCACAGTTGAACTTGCCCTAAACCTCCTCCCCTGCCCCAGACGGGCCCCACTGCCCTTGAATCACTGTAAGGTCATCTCCCTCCCAGAGCCCAGGGAGCCTCTTGTCAGAGAGGCCAGGCCACCACAGGCCGTCCTCCAAGGTCTTGCGCCCCAAGGACTGTGGCTGATGGTGTTGAAGGGATGAGGGCCCTGCTGGGGCTCACATGTGAGCAGAACCCTTGCCAGTGAAGGCAGAACTCGATGGATCTGGGCCGTCCAGTGGGAGGGTGATGGCAGGTGGGTCATAGATCTGAACCTAACCTTCCTTCTTACTTTCCTTGGGGACAATGCACCACCTCCTGCCCTGCACTCGTAGCTCTTCAGGCTGCGTCCGCGCTGAGCATCATTGCTGCAATTGTTTGCGGGGGGGTCGAGCACCTTACCAGTGTTTTTCGCCACTGAACACTTCCCGGGCTTCACCTGAACTGGACCGAGCAGGTCCAGAGCTTGAGACCCTCTGCCGTGTGGGACCACAGTCCAATCTTGACCTGTTGCATAGAAGCCAACCCCTCTCCCCTGCCCCCAGTCCCCAAACTGAGGCCTAAGCAACCCGATGAAAGAAGGCCTGGTTCTGTTAATCCAGTGTGCCACAGGCAGACCGACTGCTGGCCAACCTATAGGCAAGAGGACTATTGTCGATTTTACTAACTGATCAAGTGACCAATAAAATAAGATTTACAAAGTTGGCAGTGACAGAAGACCAGTCCTAGCTGGTTCTTGTCCCCAGCCAGATTCAGAGGGATCCCACCTGTACCCCAAGACTTAAAGTCCTTAGTCTCCATCTTTGCCCCTTCCTTGCAGGTAGGATCCTGTCACCAGGCTCAGCACATTCGCAGGCTCCGTGCACTTCACACTGTGCGCAGTGGGGCAGCATTTTCTCTCTGAGCAGCGCCAGTCACTCTGGCACAGCGAGGGCTGATACCCTTGGCACTGCTGAGGGGCGACAGGAGGGCAGACTCCGGCTTTGTCTTCCTCTAAAGACAGACACCATGAGCAGGAGGGAGGTGGATTTTACAAGGGCTCAAGAGACCACCTTCCCAGGAAGTGAGAGGAGTCCCCAGAGGCCAGGGTTGTGGGAGAGCAGGGACAGCCCAGAGATAGGCGAGGGGACAGGAAGTGGGCAATGAGGGTCCCTGGCTGGAGATGGAATGTGTAGGGCTCACATTCAGATGTTCCTGGCCCAGGGAAAGATGAAGAACTGAGAATGATGGAAAGAGAGAGAGGAGAAAAAAAGACCAGCGTGTGAAAACATCACAAAAATTCACAGTTAGAGACGAAAGTACTGGCAGAGAGAGAGAACTGCAATAAAAATTTAAATGAACCATAAGTTTTTTTTTAAAGAGAGAGAATGAGACGAAGAATAAAAGAACAAAGGAAATGTCGGAACAGAGCAGAGTGTGAGGCAAAGCAGAGCGTGGAGAGAGTGCCGGTGGCAGACAGCTCTTCAGCCAAAGGATCATTGCGGGTGGTCCAGGCACACTCCCAGACGAAGTCCTGACAAAGAACTTGGCCTCTGTTCTCTGGGGTTCCCTTGCCCGGGTTGCCCAGTACAAGGGCCTGAGTGCTGGCCATGAGAAAAGCAGAGGCCATCACCCACCAGGTGGCCACGATCCCTTCCTCTCTGAGCCATTCCAAGAGGTGACTTCGGTTCAAGCCCTGTCAGTCTACCTGACACTCTCCTAATACTGTAGTATGTTCTGGAACTCCTGCTCCACAGCCCTCCCTCCTCCCCTCCTCCCCTCCCCCTCCTCCTCGGTGGGAGTGAGCCCTGCACTGTGGTCTGAGGGGCTGTCTCTCCTCCTGTGCTTACCTCCCATTGACCCCTCCCAGGCACCTCCCCCAGTCGGCTCTTCATTATCTGCTCTGGTCTTGACCTCTGCTTTTCAGAGCCCCAAATGCACCCGATCACCCTTAGTTTTTCTTCGACTTGTTCAGGCAATGAAGGGAAGGAAGTGGGGGGGGGGCAGAAGAAGGTTAGGAAAAGAAAAAACACTCGTTTTCTCTAATAGCAATTACTATAAAAGGAAGATGGTAACTAGATCCCACTAAAAACATTAAAAAGAGTGAGGTCTCCATTTTATTTAAATGAGAATATTTCTCATAGACCTAAAATTTTTGTGACTTGCAACTATGTTAACTATGCTGGAAATATCATACGTCAACTTGAAACCTTCTAGGGACTATGCAGTTTTTTTTTTTTAATTGTTTAAGATATATGAGTCCACAAAATTGATTTTTTTGAAGATTGTGCTCCACGACCTAAAATCCCTGTGTGGACCCTACTCAAGACAGACCCCCACAGCAGAAAGTGAGAAAATACAAGGCTAAATAACATTTCATTATTGGATAGGTTAGGGGTTAACCCCCCAGACTGAGAGTCAAGGTAGTTAGGCTGGGCAACAAATAAATCTTACTTTTCCTGATTTCTACTGGCCTAAACTTTAGACCCTAAATGTAGCCCAGAACTAAAGGATTGTCCTTCTCCATTTCCAGCCAAAGTCCCAAGTCTAGTCCTAGGTCACGCTACTCCAACAGGCAGAAAGGCCACCAGCAGCAGCGACAGAGAAAACGTAGCCAAAAGCCTCGCTCCTCCATCTCAGAATGACGTGCGCACCTTTCATCCCTTTCATGGGATCCAAACAGGAAAACAGGACTCAAAATGCCCTGCGGCCCAAGGTCAGGTTTTGGAATCTGACCAGCAGAGGATCCGAGTGTGAGAAGGCACCGAAAGGAAGGAACACATCAGAAAAACAAGTGCAGGAACTGATCAAAGCTATATGGGAAACAGTGCCCTCATTTTTAAAGAACAAACCCTAAATGAAATGATCTTCCCGAAAGGCTGAAGACAGAGAAAGGGGTGTAAGAGAGGGGGGGGGGTGGGGAGGGAGGGAGGGGGAGAGAGAGAGAGATCCTGCAGTCACAGATTTTCAAGGACAGAAGTTTTAAATATGTAACCCTTTATTTCTTTGTGTTGTTATTATATGAATAAGCACTGAACTCTGACAAAAGGAAGTCTTGGGGATGAGGAGAATGTGGGAGAACTGAAGACCAGTTATCCGGGTCTGAGCCTGGGTCACCAGTGTCTTCTCAGGCCTGGTTAAGAAGGGGTTTCTACCTGAGAAGAGAAGACAGAACCAGAGCTGTAAGTTGGTGCAAACCGTGTAAGGGACCTGGACCGGGTACCAAGACCCTTGTGGTCTGACTCCTGCTGGGTACTCTCCTCCCAGGAGCCCTGAGAATCGGGGCCTGGGGATCAGCAATTCTAGGTAAACCATCCTAAGGAATGATACAATGTTATAATCCTTTACTCCCAATTTAAATGTAAAGAGGAGAGTGATTCATTATTATAAGCAGGAAGGAAAAACAAGGGCAATTGAAAACAGCCATAATAAAAAACTCAGTAACCGCTGAGGCGTTTCGAGATAATCTCATCCAAATGTCCCCATCTTTCACAGGAGAACAGCGATGCCCATTACATGAAAGTGAACTGTGCATTTTGTGAGCCAAGAGGTCTCTGCACACCCTTCAGGCAGATTTTCAGGGCAGATCCCGATTGAAAAGCGCTGATCCCGATAGTTTCCAAGGGCACTGGCAGTTTTCAGGTCCCTCTGGGACACCTGGTTCTCCGGGGACGTTTCTGGGGCAAAGTCAAGAAAGGCAGATGGGAGGCCTCTTACTTCAAACAACGGGTCCATACACTGGTAACGGCAGTTGTAGAAACAACACTTCTTGGACTTCTTGCAACCTTTGTCGCGCTGGCACAGAGGTAACATCATGAAAGGGCAGGAAAGTGTGAACTCCGGGCAGTATCCAGGTTTGCTCACAGCTGAGGAACAAGGCCACAGGGTAAGTTGGGGGCAGCCGTGTATCGTGGCTGGGCATCAGTGCCAGCGGGTCCCATGGACTCCTGGGAGGAAACGTTCCCCACCCCAACCAACCACACACCCAAACAGAGGACCGCCTTGCCCTACACGCACCTTTTATCCTCCCAGGCTGCGCCACGTGGAGGCGGAAAAGGAGGAGGAGGAAGGTCAAGCTGAGTACAGAGAGGCTGCTCCGCTTCATCTTGCAGAGAAGATCTGTGAGAATGAACGTTGAGGCTCAATCTGTTTATATCTGCTATGCAGGGGCCCGCCGGCAGGGGGAGCTGTAGATCCCACCGCCCGAGGTTAGAAGAGACTTGATTTGACCTTTCATTTCAGCTGTTTCTTTCACCGCCCCCAGAGGCTCTGTAATAACCTCTGGGCATAACTCCGAGATCCCAAGGGCGCTTCCTCTTTTTCAAGGAGCGTCCTGGCTGGACCTTCATAATTCTTGCTTTATGCAGTGGAGTTCGAGGCAATGTCCTTCCCAGGGCCTGCCTTCCTTCCCTCCCTCCCTCCCTCCCTCCCTCCCTCCCTTCCTTCCTTCCTTCCTTCCTTCCTAATTAAAGTATAGTTGACATACATTATTCTATTAGTGTCAGGTGAATAGCAGTGATTTGATATTAATACACCGTATGAAGGGATCACCGCGACAAATCTAGCAAACACCTGTCACCACACAAAGTTATTACAATATTATATTCCCTATGCTGTACATTGCATCATAAGACTTATTTGCTTTATAACTGGAAGTACCTCTTATTCCCTTTCACCCTTTCCACCCATCCCCCACCCTCCGGTCACCATTAATTTGTCCTTTGTCTCTACGAGTCTGTTCTGTTTTGCTTCTTTTAGATTTCACATATCAGTGAAATTACATGGTATTTTCTTTCTCTATTTGACTTACTTCATTTAGCATAGTACCCTCTAGCCCATTCATGTTGTCGCAAATAACAAGATTTTGTCCTTTTTCATGGCTGAATAATGTTCCATTGTATACGTAGTACCACATTTTTACCCTTTCATCTGTCCGTGGACCCCTAGGTGACTTCTATATCTTACCTGTTGTAAGTAATGCTGCAGTGAACACAGGGACACGTACATCTCCTTGAATTTTGTTTTCTTCGGATAAATACTCAGAAGTAGCATTGCTAAATCATTTGGCAATTCCACTTTTACATTTTTTGAGGAAACTTCCTACTGTTTTCCACAGTGGCTGCACAAATTTGCAATCCCACCGACAGGCTACAAGGGTTCCCTTTTCTCCACACCTCGGCCAACCCTTGCCGTTTGCTGGTTTGCTGGTAACAGCCGTTCTGGCCAGTGTGAGGTTTCTGTCCTTTCTTTCTAGAGCAATCTCACAGCCTCCTCCTCCTCCTGGTGTTTTTCTACTGGGCATTAACCTGCTGTCTTCTAGCTGTAGCTTGGCCAGTCCTCTGTGCATTTCAGTCGACATTTAGAAAAAAAAAATCCTTCCCCATTTGTTTAACAGGCCAATAACTTAAAGTGTCTGCATTTCTAATCTCAAGGCATTTATTTTCGGCTCTACAACCCACCTGTGGCCTTCCTGTTTTCAAAGAGCTTTGGTGTTGCAACTTTGATACCAAACCATGACAAGCATATTACATGCAAGGGAAACATTATGCTTATCTTGCTAGGAAAATAAGGCAAAGACCCTAAACAAAATATTAGCCAATGAATTTTGTCATATATAAAAATGGTGATGCATCATGAACAAGTGGGGCATTATTTCAACCAGGTATAGCTGGTTTAACATTCAAAAGCAGGTCAATGGAATATTCCCTATGTATAGTTACAGGGGAAAAAATCATATGATTGTTTCCCTATCAGTAGTAAAATATGTGAAAATCACTTAATCAACTAATAATCAATCTATTAATGATAGAAGAATATAATGGTACAGGATTAGACGTTCCCTTTAATTGGATAGTAGGCCCCTACAAAAAGCCTGCCGCAGGGGGAAGGACTTTCAGAGACTTCTAGACAGAAACACAAATTGTCAAGCATCGGTCTTCTCAGAACTCTAGAATTTAACCAAAGACTCACAACAGTCCATGGAGGGTTTGCTCAAGAAAAACAGGTGAATCTCAGCAAGAAGAGAGAGCTTGACCCACCCTATGCCCCTACCCCCCACCCCACCCCCGCCTTCCTTCCCAGCTGTGTGGCAGCCTTTGCCAGCCGCAGACCTGTGCTGCAGCCTGTGGGAAGCAGCCCGCAGCCTGTGAGAACCAGCAGCCCAGCCATCTTTGAAGGGGAGAACAGAGTTGATGCTTCTCTAAAGCGCCGTCTCCAGAAAACTGTTGCTCTTTGACCTGTCTGGGAGCTTCATAAAGAGTTCCATTCTCAGGGTGTGTGTTTATTTCACCTAACTCAGAGCTGGCTTTTGGGGGGTCAATGCCATCCTTGGGTCAATTTTTTAACATCATAGCTATTCAGACAGTGAGACCCATTGGCGCTGATAAGAAGCTGGCCAAAGAGATAGAGAAAGAAAAAGTGGGGAGTGTGATGTCTGGGGGGGTTTGAAATTTTCTTTCTTGCTCTTGGGGGTTCAGAAGGCTGCACACGTGTGGGGTTGTGCCCGAGCCCGGTGCTGTGTATGGGCCCTGGGCACTGTGGGGTGAGCCAGCTGCCTGGCCTCCTGACACCCATTGTGGGTGAGGAAGACTCCAAGATTCTAAATAAAGTTCTCAGCCCGGTGAGGAGTCAATTGGCAAGAGAAGAGCTGAAAGATCATTAACAAGACGCCAAAAAAAATGCAGAACATTAGGCCTTTTGTGGAGTGTCCGCTTATAGCTGAATTGCTCCTATCTTCTCCTCAAATTTGCATTAGCTTTGATTCTCTGCTTTGGTTCTAGTCATTCTATGATCCTGAAATTCCTGCTGCAAACTCGATTTCTGGTTCAGGTAAAACAAATAAACCAACAAGTCTTCTTTAATTTTTTATATTTATTTATTTTTTAGGTTGATTCCTCCTTAGTCAGCATCCTACAGAAGAGGAAAAACACATCAGGACAAGTAGTTCTCTTCCTCAGGTGTGCCCTTGACTCCTAGCGTGAACTTGAATGGCACCCTAGACTTCGATTTCCCCATCTGCAAGATGAAGGTGTTTGTCTGGATTCTGCCAAATAGGACTTTGGAGTCCAAATCCAGTGGAAGATGGTGGTGCAGGGCCTCTGCGACAAGCTGAGAAGCACGTGGTGTCTGCATGACCCCTGTCACCCCGGACACCTGGGGGAGGACACACGTGGCTGGCTAGAACAGAGTCTCCTGGTATGAAGAGTTTCTGGTCACAGAGAGCCTCAGAAGTGGTCAAAGAATGTCCAGCAATGATCAGTGACCCTGGCTGCTCAGCCTTCCGGTGCACGTGGAACTGAGCCTGCAGTTAGAACGTCGGAGTCACAGCTTGAGAAAACTCCTCTGCCGGAGAACGCTCTGTCTCTGGCGGAGCCTACAGGGGACCATGCTGTTCCCAATGAGCCCTGTGCTTAGAGACAGCAGCGCTCATCCGGGCACTTCAGCCAGCGTCTCTGGGTCATTTCCCGAATCTCATGCTGCCCCAGAGCATCTCCCTTCCCCTTCATGCAGAGTTGAAAATGCCTTTTATGAGTCGATAGGTTGTTTAGTGCATAGCAGAGCCCAGAGGCCTTGGAAGCCTGACTAGTTCCGATCTCCTTCCTTTTTATAGTTGGTTAAACTTTAGGCCAGAAGCTGGGCTTGAACACAAAATGGGGGGAGAGTGCCTAGCAGCTGCCCTGGTGCTCACAGTGGGCATGAGAATGGTTTAGACAACTCTCATTTCTTGGCTGCTGTGCATGAAAACACCGTTCCTACAATTAGAACGTATCCACCGCTCAGCCTTGGGAGTGGGAGGCTGAGCCCGTGTTCCCCACGGAAACTGGAAGGTCCCCATGCCTGCTTTCCTTGCCTTCCCTGCAGCCACCCCACACGCCCGGGTACTGGTTCAGAGGACACAGGTAAAGGCTCTGTCCCTGATGTGAGGACAAGTGACAGTAAGTAGCAGACATGGAGGAAGGACACAGAATGTATTCCAGCAGCCAAGGGCCACAGCATCTCCCTGCTAGGGAGAGGAGCGGAAGTGATGTCCATGGCTGTGGCAATGGTGGCTGCACAGGATGTGACATTGCTCACCCAGAGGCAGTGGTGGTGTGCGCTGCTGTGACTCAGGAGTAAAAGGTGACGGGACAGGTATTACGGATACATTGGTGCCTCTATGAAAATACCAAGCTGCAGAAAGGGACAACGTGGGGTGCAAAAGCTGTGCATGTAACTTGTGATTAAAATAAGGGCCCAACAGAGACCCTCCTCTCTTGTTACTCCTCAGGTCTGCCCTGCCCCCGACTTCAGGTCTCCAGAGAACACTACGCGATGTCCCTATTAAAGGATCGAGGACTTGGTGTGTATTGTCTCCTCAGTCACACCTTAAAATAGAGTGTGGGAGAGGATATTGCTTAACCCAAAGGAATTACGTGTTGTTAATCGAGGCATCTCATGCACAAACAAGCAAAATATCCAGATTTCCATTTCCAGGTGATATGGAGACTGTAATTCTTGGCTTGGCTGTTGGATTCCTGATACGAACCCTGAGACTGTGCCTGTTGCTCCTGCCTTGTGCTGTCTGTCCTTCACCCCCCCACCAGCTCCCGTGGAGCCCGGTCGCCCCACCCTCGCTGGAGAGCCGGAGTCCCAGCTCCACACCCACCTCCAGGAGCTGCCAGGAGCTCAGAAGTCACAGGAACCAAACAAATGGTGCGGAAAGCAGTCTTTTATTAGAAAGTCACTGGGAGAAGCAGCCCCAGGCTTGGGCGTGCTCAACCAGAGGAAGAGTGAGCAGTGTGGGAAAGGCGTGTGCTGTGGGGACCAAGGGCGGCAGCCCTGGGGACTCGGCAGGTGCAGCGAGGACAGGCTCCACCTGGTAGGAGAGAAGAGAATCAGGGAGGTGATTCAGCAGGTCAAAGTACTTAGAGGCTTTGACGTGAAGTCCACGCATCACCCCTCTCAGGACCCCTCAGACTCCCCCTCACCTGCCAGTACCTTCCCTCTTACCCACCAAGGACCATCCCCCACCGCCCAGCCTTCTCTGCACCCTCAGGAGTTACCTCTTCCTCCGCTCGGTTCTCAGGTCAGTGGGGAGTCATACACGTCTTCCCGCAGGAGCCCTCGCAGCACTTCTTGTGGCCCCGGCACTCGGAGTCCCGCAGGCAGGCGTTTGGGGGGTTCATCATGGCGCACTTGATCAGGGTCTTGGGGCAGGTGCCCGGCTTGGTGCCGATTTTGTGTGGCCCCTGGGGTTTGGCCGGACCCTTCCCTTTGGCTGGATGTTGACCTCCGAATACAGCTTGTTCTTTGACCAGACCATGGCCTTTGTCTGCTTCTTGACCTTTATAAGGAACTGCCAAAAGAAGAAACGTATCCACATCTAGACCCTGAGTCCCTGCTTCAAATATCTTCCCAATCCAGCCACTGTTTAACTCCAGTGTCCCCCAAACGGTGACCTGAGATGGGGACGGTCACCAAGGCTGACCCGGGGCTTTGCTCTTGGAAGGCGATTCCCTGAACTTTGCAGAAAGGGCCCCCGAGACCAACGCTGCCTCCGGCATCCTTCTCCTGGCCACCCCTCCTTCCACGTCCAGGGGCTCTCTCAGGAGGAGGTGCCAGACTGGAGTGACTCCCAGGTGAGAAAGACACCTCGTCACTTCCAAGGACACCCGGTGGAGGAGGGGAGAAGAGCCCTGAGACTAGTGCCAGGAGACCTGAGTTCCACCTGGTCCTGGAGACGGCCTTGGTGGTCTCTGCCCCCTCTCGGGGTCCTGGCGCCCTCCTAAGTGAAACAGCAGTGTTCAAATCACACGAGTCCTGGGGCCCTGTTGGTTCCTAACCTCCTTCTAGAGGACGGATCACTCTCAGGTGCTTTTACGGGGCAGTCGGGCAGGTGACAGGCCCCACACCCAGGGCCCAGATTCCTGTGCTTCCTCACTTTATTCTGCGTATCTCAGACACTGTGGCACCTGAGGCCACTGCCACACCTTCTTCCACAAAGTCTTCAGTCCTGGGGTGACGAGCATGTGGGGTCTGCTGGGCAACTGCCTGCTTTTTCTGGATATAATGGAAGTGACCACAGGCCGACCTGGAGGCCTGACACTCCCTGGGGCTCCAGAAATGCTCCCCGTCAGGACCCGGGTTGCCCCTGGCAGCCTCTCCTCAAGCCAACCCAGCCCCAGCGGGGCACCTGTCCACTCACCTCCGACGACAGCTGCGTGCACTGCCAGCGCCCCGAGGAGGACCAAAACCACCAGCACCAAGTAACCGCCGAGCCTCATGTTGTCGGGAGGGTGTGTGGCCGAGAGCTGAGGCCAAGCCTGTTTTATGTTGCCGCAGCTTGGCCCGGCGCCAAGGGCGGGTCCGTGGTGTTACAAGGCACAGGGCCTACAATTTTGAGGTTCTGCCAGGAACTCTCCACCCCCATCCTGGGAGGGAACCTGGGGCTTTCCCCACAGGTCATTGTTCACGGAGAGAAACGGTCATCACCGACCGAGTCACCTCCCCTCTGACGGTGCCAAGGGCTGTCCTACTTTCTCACGGGGCTGCCGGGCTGCTGGCCCCTGGACGCCATCACGGCCATGGTCTTTATATTTAGAAATAATACGAAGCCCAGGGGAAAGGCACACATCTCCCAAGGTCATCTGTTCTGATCTCAGAATCGGGGTGGCGTTCCCCCATTACTCCTGACCTCACAAGCCCCCCCCCCCCCCGCGAGCTGCCCTCACAGTTTGTCCCTCTCAGCATCAAGCTGGGCTCCCCTTCCCAAAGAAAACTCTCGAAGGCAAATTTGCCTCGAAAGTGTCACGACTAACTAATCCCTGCCCAGTGCCATTTCACAGTCCGTCTCTGAGAGGGAGCAGAAAAGGAAGAGGGGAGTTTAGTTCTGGATGGGAGGGGGTGACGTCCGTGGAGTCACAGGAAGAAAAAAGAGATCCCTCGGAAGAGTAAGGGGAAGGAAACAGAAATCATCCGTGTGGTGGGCATCCACAGCGCCTTCCTCCTTCTTAGCAGAGCCCCCCGTTGCTTCTGAGGGACTCCTGGGCTTTTGTAGCACCAACCGAAGAGTTTAATGGGGACTGCTCATCGATCGTGAAAGCAGGGCCTGTGGGTCGACTGACGCCCTTTATCGAATGGACATTAAGGGGAAGAGGGACGGCCCTTCTCTTGGTGAACATACTACAGATGAGCCTGGGAGTTCCAGAAGCGATGGTTCTGGTCTGGGAGGAGTTCAACTGTGTGAGGGGGGAAGAAAAGAACCCAGAGGCAAATACACTGATGGGAACAGAGGAAAAAGTGGTGACAGAGGGTTCGGGAGGCACCAGCCCACACTTCACTCCCTGTTCCCCTAAGAGCAGCTTGTCCCACACTCTTCTCGAAGTTGGGCTATGACCCAGTAACCCAGCTTTCTGCCTAAGCGAGTCTGACTTGGTGTTTCGTCATAGCTACCGAAGTTGGGAGGAATAGAAACGAATGCCCAGGAGTTGGGTGTTACCAGGGAGGGAACCTGAAATGTGGAAGTGGCGGAGCTGGGTTCGGATGAGATGGAGAAGAAAGCAGACTAATTACTGGGTAGGAAACCGGTTGGCCAACCCCCCCACCCTTCGTCACGGTGCCCTCAGAATGCATGCCCACCAGTGCCCACATGTCAAGGGCGCATAAGCAAAAGTCAGAACATGGGAGTCCAACTGTTGGAGACTTAAATTAAAACAGCAGCTTAATGCAGAATAAACCATGCAAATAAAAAGTGTGTAGAACAAACTACATTCTTTAAAGACTAGTGTTAAAATGGGCAGTCTGTCCTTGCTGCCAGGTACAGGAGGAGAATTCGTCCTGGATGCGAACACTACTGTCCTACCCTCTTGTCCCATGGCCCCGGCTGCCTCCTTCCTTCCCCTTCCCAGAGATGACCACTTTCCTGGGCCTTCTGTTAATTAGCCTATTCAAGTATCTTGACCATTGTTAATGGGTTGTCTATCTCTTTTTTCTCATTGATTTGTGAAGAAAAGAAATTCTCATGCATTACTAGTAAGAATCTATATTGGTGCGACCTATTTGAAAATTAACTGGACATCAGCAATTAAAATCGAACATGCTCAAAATCTGACTCAGCAATTACACTCCTAAGTATATACTTGAGATAAATATTTTCACGTGTTCACCAGGAGACACGCACAAGAATGTTCACAAAAGTGCTCTTTCTAGTAACAAAATACTAGAAACTGTCCATATAAGCAACAAAAAATAGCAGCTATACATATTGTGGCACATTAATACAATGAAATATCTTATAAGTATAGAAAGTATATGGCTATTTGATAGTTATATCTATTTATAAGTGTAATATAATTTGTAAATAGATACATAGCAACAAAGTGACTCCAATTAAAATAATGTGGAATGAACAATGCAAGTCCCCCCCAAAATATTTAGAATTACATGTTGTCATGTAAGGCTCAGAACTAAGGAAAACTAAGTAATAAATTGCCTAGGCACACTTATATATGTAGTACAAACTGAAAAAGGGTAAATAAAAATGAGGAAACTATCCATCATGACAGATGCCCACAAAGAAAATTATACTTCATACATTAACAACACAAGTCAATACATACAATTTTAATGATATTTATAATCATCTAAAAATTATGAGGGGCTTATAAATGAATTTAACGAATTCTGGGTAGAACCACTACAGAGAAAACTATACAACCTCTGTAAGAGGCATTTTTGGCACTCCCAGTTAGAAAGGCCTGTGTGCTAATGATCGGAAGACTCGGTGCGGTGAGGATGCCAACTCCCTTCAGACTGACTTTGAGATTCGATGCCATGCCAACGAGCCCCCCAGAAAGGGTTTTGTAAAATAAGCCAAACAGGTGTTGGCGGCATGATTCTAAAATACATACTGAAAAGAGCAAAAGGCCAGAGAGCCAAGACACTTATGTAAGAACGATTTAATAGGACTTTAATGTGGCAGCTATCGAGGTTTATTTTAAAGCAGTAGTAATTAAGATAAAGTGAGATTAGAACAATGAAAGGTAAATTGCAAATGAAACATGGCAGAGGGCCTCAAACGAGAGGCTTACATGTAGCGAGAGTGTGTTTTTAACATGGTTGTTTTACATACATGTAGCTATAGTTATACTATGAGGGTTGCATGACTTAACAACAGCACAGTGTCCCGAGTGGCTGACTGGACAATGGTAAGGAGATAGAAAAGGAGGGAGAAGCCAAAAAAAAAGTAGATAAATATTACTTCATTTAAAAACTCAGTTGTCTCATGTGATCTTATTACATTTATAAGTATCTTAGAAAAAGAACAAATATCACTGGCTCTCTGCTTACTGATTCTAGAAATGTCTGTGCAAATGTACCAGCAGAGAGAAACAAGTTGGAGAGGAATAGCTGTGTTTTGCTAATGTGTCAGTCCAAACACAACACTCCCATGTACGCCTGTATTTATGTACAGAAAAGAGCAAAGGTATGAATGAGTCCACACTACGCTGATCATGGACCAGGTTTTCCAACCGAGAAGCCCATGTGCAAGCAGTCACCACCGCCGTGGCCAGCCTGTTGCAGGATACTCAGCAGATGCTGCAGGTCCAGAAGCGCCCTCCCCACCGGCCCGTGCAGCCCCCTCTTCCTCCCCGCCCCCCAAGCAAAATAGCCTGAGGCTTCAGCTGACCAAAGAGGCTCGGGCTGAACTTACACAGTGCCACCTGTAGAGGGAGAAGGAGTTCAAGGCCAGGGAACCTGAGGCTCCGGAATCCCCATGGCAGTTGCAACAGTGAGGTGAAGGACACCCAGGAGAAGGTGGCCCTCCTCCAGACCTACTTCCCACCATACAGGGATGATGTCCTGGCTCACCTCTTGGCCATCGCCGGTGACATCTGGCCAGAAATCGATGAAAACCACCGCCTAAATGGACAGGGGAAGAAGAAGGAAGCGCCTGTTCTGGGGCTTGGCATTTCAGATGCTTCCCGAGAATAGGAAGCTCTTGCAAAGCTTGAGTTACATTCTCATGAAAAGGCACTAAGTTATTTCTGTCTGTTACATAGCAGGTCCTTTTACTTTTGCAGAACAGCAACTCTCGTTTCCTCGTACAAACTTAGAGCTTATGCAAAGATTTCATCTTTTTACCTCATATTTCTTAGAGATTTAATGGGTATACACTTTTCCTAGCCTTTTAGCTCAAGATATGTCTACTGACTTTTTTCTTAGATGAAGGAAAAAAACCTCATCATTTTTAAAGAAAGAGATTTTAAAAAGTCTTTTTCAGCCTGGCTGGTGTAGCTCAGTGGATTGAGCATGGGCCTGCGAACCAAAACATCACAGTTTGATTCCCCGTCAGGGCACATGCCTGGGTTGCAGGCCAGTTCCCAGCAGGGGACGCAGGAGAAGCAACCACACATTGATGTTTCTCTCCCTCTTCCCTTCCCTTCCCTTCTAAAGATAAATAAATAATTTTTAAAAAAAAGTATTTTTCCCCTAAAGCTTTCTTGAAGGTCAGGGTCTTTATCTATGGAAAAGTAGTAGTTACTTGTAATCTGTGTAAAGCCAAGGTCGCTTTAAAATAGCCCCCTCTGGCTAAGGGTTAGATGAAAAATATTATTGTTGGGGCTGCTTTCAGTATCTCTTAATCAAAGTTACTAGATGATAGAGTTCAAGAACTTTTTACATGTTACTACCGCGTGTACTGATTGATAATCATTTAGAAGTAAAGACTCCTTTAAAAAGCAGAAAGAGAGAAATGTGTGGAGGAATTAGCCAAGTAGCTACTGCTGAGCATGGAACATTCTGATCACAGAACTAACTCCAAAGCAAATGTGGAGCATAAGAATGCGGAGACAATAAGACTTCAATCAGCTGGGACAAGGGGAGAGCGGGTGGATAAAAGAATCAGCCCCCCGATGGCTTTCTATCTGTAATAGTTTCAAGTTTTAGTTTCTATAGGAAAAAAAGTTTTTAAAAGATGCATTCTTCCCGAAACAGGAAACTTCCACATGGTAAAGTTGTTCATCCTGGCCAACAGAGTTGACACCTTAAATATAACCATAACCAGCCCCTGGTGGGGTTTGTGTTCCCCAGTGAATCACTGATTCGGGCCATGGTCGTCTTGGCCTCAAAAGTCACTAGGAGAAAAGCCTGACTGAGCCCGAGCAGGTACAGGGCACCTGCAACTCACCCCTCTGTTTGTCGGTGGTTTGTAGTGGAAAAGCCCGACTTTACAAGGGGGGCATCAGGCCACCCCTCCTGAAACAAATTCATCTGTCCGTTCACAACGCTAAATGTGGGTAGGCGAGACCCGTGTGCCTCCTGAGGTGACGCCAAAGAAGGCGTGCCTGTAACGTGTACATGCCGAGATGGCTGAACTTGAACCTCAGCGAGCCTCCAGAGCTAACGTTCAAAGGGTAGAGAAGGAAGTTGAAAGAAATCACAGGGATGTAACACGGAACATTCTAGAGAACAATTCACCTTCTTTCTTCAACAAATAAATAGCATGCAGGAGGAGGAGGAGGAAGGGAAGGAAGGGAAGCCAGAGTTGGAGGCCATGTTCTAGGTTAAAATAAATGTCCGAGACGCTGCGCCCAACGCGAGGTATACGCCTTGTTGAGATTCCGACTTGAATGCACCAGTGGCAGTATGTCATTTGGAGACAATGAGATAGACTATTAGATGATGTTAAGACATCAATGCTAATTTTGTCGGGAATGACAATGACATGGCGATTGTGTGAGAAAATGCCTGTATTTCTTCAGGATGCACGCTGAAGTGCTTAAGGGTAAAACGTGACATGCATGGGATTTCCTTTAAAATCCTTCAGCCAGGAAGGGGTGGGACTATACAGTAAGGAAGTGGTGTCAAGTGTTAATGGCTGAGATTTTCAGTTACAAGATGAACCATTTCTGGGGAGCTAGCGTCCAGCATGGAGATGCAGCCGTCGGTACTGTCTTGTCTACTTCAAAGCTGCTCGGAGTAGCGCTTCTCTGTCCTCGACAACAAGGGGACAGTAATTGTCCCCCCCCGCCCCCATCTCATTTCCTCCATCCTTATTTCTGTAGCTTAACTGTTATCAACCAAATGGGTTACCTAAAAACAAGAGCATTCTAAAAATGGCATCTGGTGCAAGGGATTGTTCACAGGGCAGCTTGTGATATTCAGAAGAGGAAATGAAGTTTGGAACTGAGCACCTGTCCCAACAAAACAGTAGCTGTAGGAGGTGAGGGCCGTGTTACCCAACTGGTCCTGTGAAGCATCTCACAATACTTAACGTGCGTCTGACCGCCGTGCCACACACCTTGAACTTACACAATGCTGTGTGTCCGTGATAGCTCGGTGAGGCTGGGGAAAACATGCGTTGTTGAATCTGGGGGAGGGGCACAGGCGGCTTCATACAAGTACTGACAGTTCTTTTGTGTATTGTTGAACCTTTTTATAAGGATTAAAAAAAACCACTGGATTTATGTTTGGAACTTAACACATGATGATGAGGTCGACAGGGAAGGATGAAATACTTGGGACATGGATCACTGAAAATGCAGAACGATGAAGGGTAACGGGACCCCGCCATCACTAAACTGGACTGTGAAGCCGCCAGAGTTGCAAAAGCAGTTCTGGCCGGAGAACTGAGGGTCCCAGGAAGAGAACAGAAAACCCAGACTCAGCTAGTTCTGTACAAGACTTGAGCTTTTGGTGAAGTGCTGCTTCCCAACCAATGGCCAAAGTTGGAATGATTCGCTAAATGGTACTAGGACAACCATAGAAAAAAGGCACTGCCCTACCTCACACCTTTTGCCCAAATACGTTTCAGCTGGATTAAAGAATTAACATATATATTTTTAGGGGGGGATGGGGTGAGATGGGAGAAATAGATTTAAAAAAAATGTACTTGAAAAGTAACTAAATAAAATTTAATATAAAAAAAGAATTAACATATATATTTTTAAAAAGATCACAAGCCCTGGCTGGTATAGCTCAGTGGATTGAGCGCAGGCCTATGAACCAAAGAATCATGGTTTGATTCCCAGTCAGGGCACATGCCTGGGTTGCAGGCCAGTTCCCAGCAGGGGGTGTGCACGAGAGGTAACCATACATTGATGTTTCTCTCCCTCTCTCCTTCCCTTCCCCTCTAAAGATAAACAAATAAAACCTTTTAAAAAATCACAAGAGAATTATATAGTGAATTATTATCTGACATTGGCATCAAAAGAATTTTTTGACTGACCTCACATGTCTAACTTGACAAATTTACCCTGAGAAATAGTCAGGGACGTGACTCAGAATGTATACACAGAGATCGTGGTCACAGCTTTACTTATGGGAGTGAAAAATGGAAACCGAGATGTGTCATCAAAGGGAACTGACTGTGCGTGTTTCGGCACAGCAGCCTTACAAAACCCCACGTTACTGTTAGAACTGACGATGTCGGAGGACACAGCACTGCCCACAAAAGGTCTAGAAAAGAATCTTAATTGAAAAAGCGTTTCTTTAATACACACATGTAGCTTGAAGTCAGGGGAAAAATAGCCTCATGACACACTGCTCCTAAATAAAGCCCCCGGGGTATGCTGGAGTCCCAGAAGTAACATCAGATCCTGGACCAGAAGGCCCCTGTTTCCTGGGGTTGCAGGAGCCAGCATCCTGGCTTCGACCCCAGGCAAAGCCTGCTTTGAGAGCAGTGCTGACCGGAACAGCCTCTTCTCTGTCCCGCGGAGGCCCGGGAACACGTTGGGAGGCAGTAACCGAAGTCCCAGCTTAGTTGGAAATTAACTGCGTGTGCTCGGCCTACAGTTCCCTCATCTTCCCAACAGGAGGGGGTGGGGGTGCTGGTCCCGATCTCCTCCAGGTCTGGAAAGGTCCCATTCGGGGTTTCTGTTCGGGGACCCTGGGGGCCCTGAGCCCCAGCTGCCTCTCTTCCACCAAATGATGTGAAATCGAAGGTGGAATCCTTGGCTGAGACGAGTCTGGGCTCAGGATCCCTTAGTGCTAGGGGTCCCAGAAGCCACCTAGAACTGCCGTGACTAGCAACCTAAGGCAAACCCAAAACTGTGCTTCGCCCACTCCTGACAGGTGAGCCAGGCCCAGGCACGGGGCAGTTCTACCAGATGCCACTGAAGCTGAACTCATCAAAAGCAGGGAGCACAGTCCCTCTGCCTCCCGTGGAAGCCCAGGAGGAGAAGGCAGGGCCGGCCCGACTCACAGTGCCAGCCTGGGTCAGCCTCCTCCTGCCCGGAGCTCGGGCCCTAACCCTGACGCTTCCTAGATACCCAGAACTCTGCATGTCCTTGCCAACCAAAGCTGACTTCTACCCCCGCCTAAGCCACTGCTAGGGCTTCAAGATCATAGCGAGCCAGGAAAGGGAGTATTTGACTCAACAGCCTTCACCCATTATACAGATTAGAAAAACCGAGGCCCACTGAGGGATAAGACTGGCCCAGGATTACAGACCAATTCAGCAATACAGGTAGGGCTGGACTTAACCCCCAACTCCCAGGCCCCGCCCCCAACCATCATCAATTCTTACACAAGTGCCCTGGGGTTGAGGCTCTTGGGCAGAGGGTGGGGCCAGGATGAGGCAGACACCTGCCACTCCATCCACCCCTTCTCCTTCCTTCCCTCACGCAGTTGCTCTAGCCTCCTTGGGGCCACAGGTGTTAATTTGGGAGCCCCTTGGTCCCTGACCTTATTACGTGCTGAAGCAGAAACATGAGTCCCCAGAGCCTCCTCCTCCTGGTGGCCCTCCTGGGGAGCCAGCTGCCTGCTGCCTTGGGCAGGAGGAATAGAGGTGAGTCGGGGTCGGTTCCTCCAGGTACTAAGTGGTCCCTACCCCTCTGGGGAGCGTGAGGGTTCGGGAGAGGCAGGGAACTCGGTGCGTGTCTGTGTGTGTGCTGTGGACGTCTGCTTCTCAGTGCCTGCGTTTTGTTTGTGCTGCTCTGAGCCCGCCGGCCTGCCCACGGCTGTGCCTGCAGACGCCGTCTGGCCAGCGTCTCAGCCCTCGTCCGGGCCTGTCTTCACAGCTGAGTTCGGGGTTCGGGGTGCACGAACGCCAGTCTCTGTGTTGTGCATGTGTGTCTTTGAGCCCCTGCGTGTTGTGGGGACAAACCCGTCTGTGCCACTTCTGCTCTGGTTGTCCCCACGGAGGTATGTGGGGCTGTCATCCTCTGTGGCCTGCAGGGCCCACCTTGTTTCTGTCTGTCTGTCTCAGGCCGTCTCCGGCCCCTAGCCCAGTCTGTGGAAGCGACATGGAGGTTGAGTAGGGGCGTGGTTTCTGGGGTCCCAGATCTGCTGGGAGGACACTGTGGCCCTTCTTCTCTTCCCCCCACCTCCTCCCAGAAGGCTGGGGCTGACCTGTCGCCAGGTGCGGGAGGCCTGGGCTGCTGGGGCGGTTAGACAGGTGCCTCCCCACCTGGGCGAGGCCTCCACTTCCATGCCCTTCTGGGGCCGGAACCCTCTGACCTACATACACCTGTGTCACCCCGGCCCTGCCTTGGGGGAAGGGGACAGGCACAGGGACAGGTCCGCTCCTCCACAGGGCTCCCGGGAGCAGCTCCCAGCGTCCTCTGTGCCCCCTCCAGTCTAGCCCTGGGGACGACATGGTTTGGGGAGGAAGAACACTTGGAACCCCAGGCTGCGGAGGGAAGGGTGCTGGCAAGTTCCAAGGCCGGACCCCATGCCGCTGTGACTCACGCCATCACCACATTCCTCCTCACAGCAAGGCTATGAAGTCACAGCTATTTTTATCCCCACTTTGCAGATGAGGAAACTGAGGCTCCGTAAGAACCAACTTGCCCAGGGCCAAAGACTGACTCTGAGTCAGGGTCAAAGGTGGCAGTTGAGGGAGGTCTGTGGAATCAGGAAGACCCGCCTCCCAGACCTACTCCCTGCACAGTGAGGCCTCCCTGTACAAGGAGATGGTGTCCTAAGGAGTGATGCATGCTGGTCTCCCCAAACGCCTCGAATTTCCACCCTTCCCGATGTTTCTCGAGATCACTGCTTGGCTCTGCAGAAGTCCTGACAGGGGAGGGCAGCAGTGGAGTGAGGGAAGGGACGTCTCCGTTTATTCCTGTGACAGCACAGTCACTTAGGTGTATAAGACGCACCCCCTCCAACACGTCTGGGTGTCTCTGACAGTGAGAGGTGGCGGCACAGGCCCTGGGAGAAAGTGTCTAAGGAGTGTTTTCAGTGGCCACCTTGTATTGTAAAGAGACCCGTGTTGGGCCGCATTCATAGCCATCCTGGGCCACACCTGGCCCACGGGCCATGGGTTGGACACCCTTAAACTTTAAGCCCGCCCAATCACACAACCCAAGTTGACTTGGAGCACTTACTGTGTGAGCAAGGTGCCCACTATGTGAGCAGCCAGCACCCAGTCAGGGGCTGGAGGGGGAAGGCAGACTCAAGGTAAAGTCGCGGCACTGGATCCCCTGCCCCTGGTAACCCTTTTCTCAGATGCTAGACCGAAGTGAAGGCCGGAAGCCAGCCCCGTGCCCAGGGCTCGGTGCCAACCGGAGCAGAGGGGCGGGCAGGCCCCAGTGGGCGCTGCCCCCGGAGATGCAGACTCCGAATCCACGTGGGTTTGGGCAACCACCGCCCCTTTTGGGCCTCGATTCCTCCCTCTAAACAGAGGAAGATACGGATTCGAGGTTTTTGCATGAAATCTGGAAATGGCCCAAATCCTAACAAGAAGAGTGGCCAGGTGAGCTCCGGGACGGAACGTTCTAGAGCCATTCAGAGGACAGCCTGAGAGACCAAGTTAATACCAATCCCTGGAACAATGCCACTTGTAGCAGTGACGAGCCCAGTTCAGCGGTGGCCGACGGTGGCTGTGTGACGGCACACTGGGCTGCCAACCGCTGACACACCTGTGGTGCTGGCCCTCCCTTCAAACCCTTTCCCTCAAACAGTCCCTGAGCCCCTGCTGTTGGTGTCTAGGGCTGTGCTTCCGCCAAACGGCCAGCAGAGCGGGCAGGGGGTCTATTGTCACAGCTGCTGGCCAAGTGAGAGAGGCAGGGTCACCAATGCCGGGGGAAGATCCTTTGGGAGTGTGTGGGGTGCTGCGGGATGAGCTGGTTCATCTGGGGTCAGAGAAGCAGGGTCTCCTGGGTGTGGTGTTTCAGCTGAGACCCAACGAACAGGGTATAGGAGGCAGCCTCAGGCGAAGGGCAAGGCCAAAGCAGAGAGAAGGGGTTTGGGGTGGGGCAGGGGCCACTAGGAGTGAAGGGGCTGAGGCCAGAGAGACGGGCAGGGGCCAGACCAGGTATGGCCTTATTGGTGCAGATGGAGATTTTGAACTTCCTTTTTTCCTGTCCGTATGTCATCTGAGTCTTGAGCCTGCCCAGAAGGAGGTCGGGGGGTGGGTCCAGCTTCCCATTTCACAGACAAAAAACTGAGGCTTGGAGTAAAAAACAACCCAAAACTTGCCAGCCATTTGCGATGTGGGGGGACCTCAGTGGCATAAGTCAGAGAAAGACAAATACTGTGTGACCTCACTTACACGTGGAATCTAAAGATCAAACAAAACCTCAAAGCACCAAGCCCATTGATGCGGAGAACAGGTGGTGGTGGCCAGAGGTGGAGGGGCGGATGGGCTCAGAAAGCACAAACTTCCAGTTACAAAGTAAACAAGTCACCGACGTGATGCGCAGCATGGCTACCATGGTAACGCCACAGCGCACGTCTGAAAGTTGCTCAGAGAGGAGATCTTAAAGGTTTTCCACCTAGAAAGAAAAGTGTTTAACAGTGTACGAGGGCAGATGTTAACTAGACACTGTGGTGGCCCTTTTGAAATATGTAACAAATGCTGAATCCTTATGTTGTATCTCCCAAACTAACATAATGTTATCGGTGGACTATACCTCAATAAAAGGACTAAATAGAAAGTAAATAAATAAAATCAAGTTCATCCCCAAATACAAATACTACCTTGCCCAAGGACAGGCAAGAACTGGAAGGAGAATTCAGAGCTGGTGGTTCCAGCTGCAATATCCGGGGGCTCTCCTACAGAGAAAGCTGGGGGATGTCCACCGGACGATGGGCCCTGCCTCCAATCGGTGCCTGACCAGTGCCTGGGGGACAGACAGTGCCCCTCGCTGATGAAGTGCTGCCACAGAAATTGCTTCCGCCAGTGTGTCCGGATGGTCGCAGGTAAGTGTCCATCTGCACTTGGCTGACCGACTGACCGCCCGAGCCCAGAGCCCCAGCTCAGGGGCTCAGGCAGGGCTGCCACCCGGGTCCCTGTGTTGCAGTAAAGCAGGGCACCTGCCCCGAGGACCGGCTGAAGTGCCTCAGCCCCATCCAGCACCTGTGCCACCGGGACTCCGACTGCCGGGGCCGCAGTCGGTGCTGCCTCAGCGCCTGTGGCCGGGAGTGCCGGAACCCCATCAAACTCAAAGGTAGGGCTCTGCGCGCCTCTCTCAGTCCTGCACACAGGGTACCGCCCCAGTGCCACGAGTCTAACAGGATGCCTCTCCAGCAGCCGGCGCCCCCCGGTGGCCGTCACTGGGGAAGTGGCCCAGGGGTGTGAGGGGTCCTGTTAGGATGACGCAGGAACTGGGAATCCTCAGTTCCCTTGGTGAACTTGCTGTGTCCTGGACCACAAGGGAGCTCCCGTCTGCCCTTGGGGCAGTCCTGCCTTGGCTGGGAGTCCTGCCTTAGTGGCCGCCAGGGCTGGGCAGATGGGGTCCGGGTGGGGACCAAGCCCAGGAGTCAGAGCCCTGTTACGGGAGGTGGTTAACCCTTTCCTTCTCTCTCCTCAGGCTGATTCTGGTTCAGGCCCGGTGGCTCCGAACCTCAGGACGGGGTCCCCAGCCCGAAGAGGTGATGATGCTGGCCCTGGGACCTGCCACCCGGCAGCACCACCTCTGCCAGCTGCAGTCCCAACCTTCTGACAAACACTTACCTGTCCTGACGTTCCCTGCCGCCCGCCCACCCTTGGCTTTTCCTCCTGGGAATCACAGTCCATGGCCAGACCTCAGAGGACTCCCTGGTCCCCCTGCCCCCTGAGCTGCTCGTTCTTCCTGACACCCACCTTCACATCTCTTTGTATGTGTTTCTCCCCCTAAAATCCCCGATTCAGGTAGGCCCCTCTCTGTGGGGGCCCGACCCCCCCGAGTGCACATTTCGCCAGTTTCCTGAACGTGTCTGTTCACATGGCTCTTTTGCGATTTCACCTTGCCTGCAACGCGCGCACTGCCTCTGCTCCTGCTTCTCCAACGCTCTTTCTTAGACGAACTTTTTGTCTATAAACGTTCTCAGAAGAAAACCTTGATGTCACTACTGCAAACAGGATGCGCAGGAGCACTGGCCACAAACAGAATGTAAATGCAAAAGCAAATGCAATGAAAACAGTGAAGTTCCATTAAAGTCATGTCTGACTCGACAATATTTAATAATGTTCTTAAATTCTAGCTACACACTGCCACCTGCCAGGGCTGCGAGCCTGAAGCCTGCTCTCTGTTGCGATCAGGGATGGTCAGCAAGGGTTACCGGGCTGCAGGACACAGGTCTCTAACCCGAGACTGTTTCCCTGGTGACTCCTACTCTCCGAGAGCCAGGGTTGTATAACGTTGCACCCACGTACACCCCAAGGTCATTTCAGATTGCTCTGCACTTGGGGAAATGTCTCTTGGGCAGTTGAGATGCCATTACTTTGGGGATGGTCTGGGTCCACCATTGGATAATACCTGATTCACCCCCATTTCTTCAGGGGCTCAGTCTGTAGTCAGGGCCCTGAAAGGGGGGGATGCCAGCCAACCCAAGGGACGTTCCTGGACCCGAGAGCTGGATTCCTGGCTGTCCCTTCTGCCCAGGACTTGATTGGGGGAGAAGGTGGGGGTGGGCAGGCTCCCCCTGCTTTTCATGCCGGGTCTGCTTGTGGGCGCTGATAGAACCTGGGGCTGACGGTCAGCTGTGGGGGCAGAGTTGGGAATCCCGGGTTCTCTTTCCTGGTTCCCCTGATGATGCACTGCAGTCACAGGGGGGTCACCACCCTGCCCTCCTGTCTGCCCTGCAGGAAGAGGGAAAGAACACTACTTCCTCACTGCCAGAGTCCTGCCCGTGGGATTCCAGTGCCTCAGCTGTTGACTCAAAAGCAGCAAATGCTGGTTATAGGGACACGCCTGGGAGATGGGAAGAGCACTGTGGGGGCCGCTGATGCTGTGAGCCTGGGGTTCCTGTCCTCTTCCCTGGCCTCAGTTTCCCCATCTGTAAACTCAGGCGCTTCACATAGATAATAGGGCACACTGTATAGTTTGGGCACACGCGCCCCTTGCCCCCCCACCCTTATGTGCACACCGGGCAAGTGTACACACCCTGGCCCCATGATAAGGGAGGGCTTTGGCCCTGGACTTGTGTTGGCTAATGCAATGTGGGCGCAATGACAGTGTGACAGTTTCAGGGCAGGGCACCGGCCTTCCTGCCTGCAGCTTCCACCCTCTGCCCTGAGACGAACTTGTCCAGAAGCCACTGGTCTCGGGATGAAAGACGCAGGGTGGGGAGGGGGCGAGGTGGACAGGCTGAGATGTCTCAGTCAGTGCTCAAACTCACAGGAGGGGAACGAACATTCGTGACAGGAAGCCAGTGAGATTTGGGGATTATCTGTGATAACAAACTGACTGTAGTCAGAGCTTGTCCAATTCAAGTGATGATTCCTATCCTGTAGTAAATCTGCGCACTTCTAACCGTCATTTCCTTCATCCATCCTATAACCCTGAGAAAGCTGGGCCCCGTGATTCCCGTTTGACAATGAAGAAACAGGGGCTTTGAAAGAAGTGACTTGCCGAGACTCCCAGCTAAGAGGTGCACCGGCCAGGATTAAACCATCCTGTGTGGGCCATTAGATATTGACACAATCAGCAACATTTAAAGTGGCCGAGCACTTCCCTGTGTGCGCCGAGTTCTGCTCCAGGCTTCACAGCCAGCAGGAAAGAGCCAGGTCCGGGGGAGGCTGGGCAGGGCCTGCGGCTCACAGTCGGGTGAGGCCACTTTCTCCCCAGTGCAGTTCGGGGGGGGGGGGCAGCCTTAAAGGGCGTGAGTTTCTCTCTCAGCTCCTAAGTGCCCTGGGAAGATGACCGGGCCTCCTTTGGAAAAGGGGGACCCTACGCCCGTGTCCCTATCAAGTCGGTGTCCACCATAACCTAGATGAGCCACCTGAACTAGAGGGACTGAAAGGGACCCATCTGGGAAGCTATCATTACTGCCGTTCCTTTGTCAGAGGAGCCGGGGCTGCAATGCCTCTTCACGGGGTATATTCCCCTACGGACCCCTCCTCCCGCTGGTCCCTGGGTCGAGAGCCTGTCCTGGCTGTAGGGCCCGGTCCCCAGACACCCGCACATACCCCGACCGAGTCAGGAATAGAAACCACCGCCTCCGGCCGCCCGCGGTCTCCCTCCCTCCCCCGGCAGCAGCGATCGATGCGGCCTCAGCCGCGGGGGACAGAGGAAGACTGAGAAGGAGGAGGAGGCAGCAGGGCCTCCGCAGCGGCGAGGCTCCGCGGGGCCGCCGGGGCACGGAGCAGCCCCGGGCGGCCGGTGGCTCCCCAGCCTCGGGGACAGACGCGCTGGGCCACAGGTAAGGGGTCCCCCTCGGGGAGGGGCGTGGTCCGGGGGAGGGCGGGGGCCGGGCGCCGCGGAGGCGGGGCTGCCTGCTTCCTCGTGCTCGCGCTCTCTCCTCGAGACCCCCAAGGAGGGAGCAGGGCGGGATGGCCGTACTTGGGGCCGGTTCTGTTCGTTCATCTGTCAAATGGGATTAGAACACCTCCCCGCGGGGCTGGGGTAGTGCGCGGAGCCCGGGGAAGAGACCGGCGCACAGCGCACAGCGGGCGATCAAAACGAGCGTGGAAAGAGTGTGGAGACGCACAAAACCCAGTTTCCCGCTTTGCCTGCGCCCTGGACGAGCTTGGTAATTTTGAAGACATCACTTAGTCTTTCTTACCGGCATTCAGATTCTTGTCGGGGAAGGTTTGTTGAATTAATTGTCCTATTTCACGGAGCAGGAAGGTGAGATCCAGGAAGAGAAAGGGGTCTGCCCCCAGAGGGGCAGCTCGTGGGTGACGGATCTGGATGAGAGACTTCATCTTCTGACATCAAGTCCAGGCAGAGGGCGGGATGCGGCTGCAGCGTGCAGGTCCTTATCCAGCGCAGCTCGGGTGCCAGGGACTGTGCTGCTGATAAACACCCTGCCTGGTGCAATCCTCACAGCGCTCAGGGGAAGGACAGTGTCCCCCACTTTGCAGATGGGGGGACTGACTCTCAGAGAAGGGTCTGCTCAAGGTCAGCAGTAAGAGGCAGGCTCAGAACTGGAAACCAGCTCTGACAAGAGAGACGTGCCAGGGACTAACATTTACCCCGCACCTCCTGTGTTTCAGGGGTTGTGCACGCATCCTCACAACAACCCTTCCACTGCAGTGTTATTATCCCCATTCTACAGGTAAGCGAGCTAAAGTCCAGAGCAGGAGGAGACTGGCCTTCGGTCACACAAGGAGCAGAACTAAGGACAAAACCCCAACTCGCTTAAAGCCAAGCCCAGGGCAAGTGAAGGACACCCCGCCTGCTCCCGGCCAGGCACTGGGCCAGCTGCCTGATGCACACTCGATCCCTGTCCACCCCGGAAAGCAGGCATCACCGAACCCACAGCGCTGATGACGTTCTAAGGTAAGGAGGTGGGTCCTGGCCCTCGGTTCCAGCACAGCTTAGAGATGGAGGCAGCAGCAGGGTCTAAGCTCTCCTTGGCATCCACAAAGGCCGAGCACTCCTTTACCCTCCCGCCTTCCTGGGAGCAGGTGCTGTAGTCTGCATTGTGCAAGGAACTAACGTGGAGAAAAGCATCTTCCTCAAGGCACCAGGCACACCTACGGGGAGACAAGCAAAGGCTTGCCTGACCCCAGGAGACAGTGAAACAGGTGGACCATTGACCAAACCATCTTCTGGTGCCAGGTCCCGTAAAGACACTGGTTCATCTCGCCTTTTTCCTCACAGTGGGAGGTGGGTATTTTTATCTCCACTTGACAGAAGCTTAGGGAGGTGACGTGACTTGCCTCCGGTCACCCAAGAAAGCCCAAGTTCAAACCCACAGACCCTTTAAATAGTGGAAGCCAATGGCTGTCACGCTGAACTGTGAGTCAGAATCACCCTCCGAGCTTGTTAATAGACAGCTGCTAGTCCCCATCCCCAGAGATTCTGACTCAGCAAGTCTAGAGCGGGCTGAGAATTTGCGTTTCGACAAACTTCCAGGTGATTTCCAGGTGATGCTGATGCTGCTGGCGCAGGGAACGCCCTTGGAGAACAGCATAGCCCTAGGGGGTCGGCATTCCCTACCCCCATGTCACTGAGGAAGAAACTGAGGTTCAGAGTGCTCGCGTGCAAGACGCCGCAGTAGACCTCCGGGCTTCAAAAATCCAGGTTTGTCTGGGAAAGGGACACATGAGCGACTCCCTAGCCGAGCGCCCCTTCCTCCCCTCAGTCAGGTGCCACGACATCCTGCCATTCAGCGGCTTTCATAGTTCCCTAGGGTAGAGCGCTAGAGCTCGCTTTGTTTAGGCCAATGAAACGAGGGTTGGAAAGTTCAGTGGTCTGACCAAAGCCCAGTCGCGTAGTAAGGGCTGGTCAAATCCAAACCTGGCTCTTCAGTCACGGGGGCACCTGACCGACCACCCACTAAGCCTCCGCTGCACACCAGTCGCTTCACACTGAGCATCTCACACCTCTGCCTGGTGAATGGGGCAGGGGATTTGATCTTGTCAGAAGAGAGGTCCTGGGACCCCCTTCAGAGGGCTCCTCCTGTGTCCTTAGGCCGGCACTCGGCAACCATGGTGAGCGAGTCCCCAGGGCGCGGAGCCAGGGTCCCCTGGCGGCGAAGCGACGAGGCTCTGCGCGTGAACGTGGGCGGCGTGCGACGGCGGCTGAGCGCGCGCGCCCTGGCGCGCTTCCCGGGCACGCGGCTGGGCCGCCTACAGGCCGCAGCGTCGGAGGAGCAGGCGCGGCGCCTGTGCGATGACTACGACGCGGCGGCGCGGGAGTTCTACTTCGACCGGCACCCGGGCTTTTTCCTGGGGCTGCTGCACTTCTACCGTACCGGCCACCTGCACGTGCTCGACGAGCTGTGTGTCTTCGCCTTTGGCCAAGAGGCCGACTACTGGGGCCTAGGGGAGAGCGCGCTGGCCACGTGCTGCCGCGCGCGCTACCTGGAGCGGCGCGTGGCGCGGCCGCGCGCCTGGGACGAAGATAGCGACGCGCCGAGCAGCGTGGACCCGAACCCTGGCGAGATCTCCGACGTGCAGCGCGAGCTGGCGCGCTATGGCGCCGCACGTTGCGGCCGCCTGCGCCGCCGTCTCTGGCTCACCATGGAGAATCCGGGCTACTCGCTGCCCAGCAAGCTGTTCAGCTGCGTCTCCATCGGCGTGGTGCTAGCCTCTATCGCCGCCATGTGCATCCACAGCCTGCCCGAGTATCAGGCCCGCGAGGCGGCAGCCGCCGTGGCTGCGGTGGCTGCGGGTCGCAACCCAGAAGAGGTTCGCGACGACCCGGTGCTGAGGCGCCTCGAGTACTTCTGCATCGCCTGGTTCAGCTTCGAGGTGTCGTCGCGCCTCCTGCTGGCGCCCAGCACGCGTAACTTCTTCTGCCACCCACTTAACCTCATCGACATTGTGTCCGTGCTGCCCTTCTATCTCACGCTGGTGGCTGGTGCCGCGCTCGGCCACCAGGGAGGTGCGGGCGGCGAGGACCTCGGCGACCTGGGCAAGGTGGTGCAGGTGTTCCGCCTCATGCGCATCTTCCGAGTGCTCAAGTTGGCGCGCCACTCCACGGGGCTGCGCTCGCTGGGCGCCACGCTCAAGGTAGGGCCTCTGAGGCCGGGCTGGGAGTCTAGGGGGAGGCAGGTATAACCATGGGGCAGGTTTGCAGGTGAACTCACAAGCCTGCTGCGTCCAGACGCTCAGTGAAACTGAAATGGCATCCTTTGTACTAGATGCAAGGCTAGGTAACAGGTGTATGTTTCCCGGCCAGTTTGACCTTCCCAACAGCCCAGTAAGGAAGAGCTTCCGGTCATCTCTGTGTCCCGGGGGAGAACCCAGAGACAAAACTTTGCTGGTCTTCCTTTCAAAAAAAGAAAGAAAAGAAAAAGAAAAAGAAAAAGAAAAAGGTCATCTTTAATCTATCTATCAAATATCAAATAATACATAGCACCAAAATATGCAAAGCAGGACGCTACCTGGCTTTCCCACTAAGCCTTTCTGCTGACGTTATCAGGGGCACCGGCATCATGGGTCACACGTAATAGGCCAGGTCTAGTAATAGCCCCGGAGCTGATACTTACGGAGTGCTAATTTGGTGCCATTTCCACATCCATTATCGATTTCATCCTCAGGATAACTTCTTGAGGAGGATGCGGTTACTTATTCCATTTCTGTAGATGAAGAACCTGAGGCTGGCTTTTTAAAGCCTGGTTGCAATTTACTGAGTGCCCTCCCTGAGCCAGGCCCTGCACCGGGCGGGGGTTGAATCACTGCCCTGGGGAATCGCTCACCCTCCAGTGGGTGAAATTAGCCTGCTTTGGGGTGGAGGGCATGTGAACATGTTGGACAAAGGTTGGAAGAGGGAACAGAATAAATGATGGGAGGGGGCATGGACAAAGGGGGTGTCGGTTGATGAGGTTGAAGAGGTGAGTGGGACAGGGTATGGCAGGGCCATGAACTCTTGGCCCAGGGTTTTGGACTTCATCCCAAGGGAAATGGGGTTTAAGCAGGGGCAAGTGTTATTATCACAACTTTGCAGAGGTGGAAACTGAGGCCCCAAGAGGTGACAGGACGTGTCAGAGGTTCCTCTATGAGTCAGGTGCAGAGCCTAGAAGAAGGACCCAGCTGTGTCTGACTCCGGCATCTCATGCTCTTTCTCCTTAAGCCCCGTGTAACAGTGCTAGGGGTCCCGAGAAGGTGCTGATAGATTTCTTCCACCCGTAAGGCATGTAAAACCCTGTGCATACCCTCACAGCAGGGCAGCCAGGATGCTGGGTGCAGGCAGGGCGACCTGGGCAGAATGCAGGGCTTCAGGCAGGTACAGAGAATTCCATTGGCCATACACCCTGAACTCAGTGCCTCTCCAGGGCTGATCCCTCCGTCCTGGAACTCGGCCTTGCCTCCACTGTGCAGGGAGCCAGGGCCCAGAGCTGCCAGCTCTTTCTGTGAGGAGGGAGAAGAGTATTGGTGGAGGTTTCCTGGGTCCAAGACACAGGTGTAAGACTCCAGATGAGAGCCATGCTACTTAAAGTAGCAGTCAGAAGCCCCTGACCACTAGCAGCTTTCTCGGTAGCTGGAAGCTTGCTAGGATTGCAGAATCCCTGGCCCTATGCCAGAGCTCCTCAATTGAGTTTTGCCTTTTAAACAAGATCTCTGCAGGAATCCTCTGCGGATTACTTTGGGAGTCTTGGCTCTGGAAGAGGAGTTCTCAGCCTCTGTTAACATTTGGGGCCACATTTGGGGCTTTGTTTTGGGGATTGGCCTGTGCATTGCAGGAAACTTCACAGCATCCTTGGCCTCTACCCACTGGATGCTGGCAGCACACCTCTCCCAGCTGATACTGCCAAATGACCCCTTGTGGGAGGAGGGGACAGAATTGCCCTGGTTGAGAAGACTGCCCTAGGGCCTGGCCTCAGGGGCAGAGCAAATATACACACCCAGAGGCAAGTGCATTCAGGGAGAGGTCTAGGGAACTCACATATCCGCCCAGCTTCCTTGGGGGGCCGAAAATATTTTTGTCCTTATCAGAAATGTGAGGAACCAATCGAAAGAGCACGAAACCAAGCTTTGCATTGTAGAATATAAACTATGGCTCTCCTGATTCTGCAGCCGTGCAGAAATTACAAGCTTTTCATTAACTGGCTGGTGCTACTGGCCACCCACATTAGAAGAAGCAAATGTGGCTTAGCAGGTGCCTGGGCCCCTGGAGACCAGGCCTGTGTTCAGTCCCAGAGAGTTTCTTCTTGTAGTCAAAAAGACCTTAGTTCGGAGTCCGCGGAGCTGGGTGCTGGCACCAGCTCTCCTTTGCTCTGTGACTTCACACCTGTCCTTTCTACTCTCCAGGCCTCAGTTTCCCACATGCCCAATGCCAGCTCTGACTCAGCTTCCTCCATTCTCTTCCAGCACAGCTACCGCGAGGTGGGCATCTTACTGCTGTATCTGGGCGTGGGGGTGTCTGTGTTCTCTGGCGTGGCCTACACCGCCGAGAAGGAGGAGGACTCAGGTTTTGACACCATCCCTGCCTGCTGGTGGTGGGGCACAGTGAGCATGACCACTGTGGGCTACGGGGACGTCGTGCCGGTGACGGTGGCTGGCAAGCTGGCAGCCTCGGGCTGCATCCTGGGGGGCATCCTGGTGGTAGCGCTCCCCATCACCATCATCTTCAACAAGTTCTCTCACTTCTACCGGCGCCAAAAGGCTCTGGAAGCCGCCGTGCGCAACAGCGGCCACCAGGAGTTTGAAGACTTGCTGAGCAGTATTGATGGGGTGTCGGAGGGGTCTCTGGAGACGTCCCGCGAGACCTCCCATGAGACCTCCCGTGAGACCTCCCAGGAGGGAAGGTCTACAGACCTGGAGGCCCAGGCCCCCAGTGGGCCTCCAAACTCTCAAATTTATTAAAACCAGGGCTTCACAACCCCCCCACCTTCCCACACCTCTGCAGGTAGTTACAACAGAGCAGAGAGCTGTCCCCTGCTGAAGTTCTTCGTGGTAGCACGCCCGCTCAGGGTCAGTCACCCTGGCCTGAGAAGTGACACCCAGAGGCTGGGTTCCGTCCCCCAAAGGCTCAGGGCAGGACAGCGTTACCCTAGATTCTGTGATCCTGGAGAGTGACCCAAAGACCATAAACAAACCTGCAAGCCATCCGGGAAGCAGCACAAGCCATAGGGAGAAAGCCAGGAGGGTGCTAACATTCCCGAACACCTGCTGTCTATCAGCCAGGTCACATTTGGCCCTGTATTGGAGGATGAAAATCATCCCCATTTCACAGATGAGGAAACCGAGGCTCAGGGAGGTGCAAGGAGTGGCCCAAATGTTACACAGCTAGTAGTGGAGTCAAGTTCAGAAACCACGCTTTTGTCTGCTGAAACAGTGTTTCTGCCACCCTCTGTCTTCCGCCCTCAGGCAGTTTGCATGGAATTTTAGTGGGTTCATGGATCCCCAGAGCTGATCCATAGAGTTAGAGCCCTCTGTCAGAGCTAGGAAAGGGACCCGACAGGACTCAGATGCAGGAGCCCTGGACCTCAGCTGCAGCCCTTTCCAGGAGCTTCCACAAGGAGTCAGCTCTCTGAGATGAGGGCTGGGAGGAAGAGGGAGCCGCCTCCTTGGCTGACGTGCAAGATGTACGCACCACTAGCTGAAGCTTCCTTCCCGGGCTGGCCTGAGCCTGAAGGGCAGAGCCAGCTATGCTAGAACCTGATGTGTGAGGCAGGCAAGTCTTTGCCCCATGTCCGGGTTTCAGCCCACCCGTTCCATGGTCACGGTCTGGGCCCAGAGGGAGGTGGAAACCCAATGGGACAGGGGAGGCACTGATTCCAAGCCAGCTTGGCTCCGAAGTGTTGGTGGCAAGGCGCTGCCAGGCGTGGACACCCATCCCCACACTCCAACCGTGGCAGTCCCTGTATGCCCTACCTGCAGACCTCCGGCCGTACCTCGAGTTACCACCCAGGCAGATGCTTGGGGCTCCTGTTCCTTTTGGCAAGCTCCAGCCCCCTCGACCTTGCTGGGGGCGTGTCTCATATCCTCACCTACTGAATCCTCTCCACTTGCAGAAAACATTGGGAGGCAGAGGGTTCCCTTAGCCCTTTCACACTGTTGCCAGAACAGCCATCACGGTACTCTCATTGCCTAGCTCTGTCTGCCCCACCGCACTGAGCTTCGAGACAGAGGACTGTGTCTGGTGGAGCCCGGACTCGGAGTGGAGTAGGCAGTTAGTGAATGCTGAGTGGATCGAGCAATTCGCACGACTACTGTGTGCCAAGCACTGGGGAGGAAGAGGAAGGAAGGAGCCAGAGGGGGACCTTGCCCAGAGGAGGATGCAGACCCGACGAAAAGGGGGCTCCTTTCAGTCCTGCCCCCCTTCCTCCTTGCTCTTTTGAGGCTTTTACAATGATTTCCTTGTAGATTTTTCACTCACTCATTCAGCAAGTAGCCACAGGAAAAGGGGCTTCACCTGTGGCCTGCAGACAGGTTTTATTGAGCCAAACAGTATTTTTAGTATATTTAAAAAATGTGAATGCCTTCAGGTGAGGCGTGTACTCTCCGGTTCCCCACCGAGCGCCCTCCCCCCGCACCACCGCGACACACAGTCACTCCTGTGTGAGCCCCGCCGCTGAGGTTTTCTTTACCCACCTGGCCTGTGATTTATTGACATCTTACTGGATTCAAGAGATGGAATGCCAAGCAAAATATATATCCCTGTCTTGAAGCTGACAGACTGGGCAGGGAGTAGGTTTTAGTCCACCGAGCACTAAGTATGTAGTAGTAAGCTCTACTAAATTCAAGAAGTCCAAGGGTGTGGGGTGCAGCAGGGACCGCTGACCGAGAAGCTCAGAGAAGACCACTGAGCAAGGGCTGATTAACCTGCTGTCGTATGATAAACAGTGATGGCCAGTGGCAGCTCCCAGAAAGCACTGCGTTCCAGAGTGAATGGCACATGCGAAGTTCACCCGTCATGCACGGGGCCTGGGACCTAGAAGGAGTCCCATCTCCAGGTCAGAGCAGAGCCTGGGGCGAAGCCAAGGAGCCACTGGTGAATGACCACACACGCCCTGACCTTCCTGCATGCTCACCTAACACCTAAGCCCAGCTCTGTCCAGGGCGGGGCCCCGAGACCAGGAGGGCTGCATGCGCCACCCTAGGGGTCTTGCTGAACACACCAAGGAGCCAGTGAGCTTCCAGGCTTCCTGACCCCACGGACGAGTCCCTAAGGCTGGAGTGGGAAGCTCAGGGGAGAATGGTCTGGGCCGAGCCTATCATGAGGGTGTGTGGTCCTCCCGGCAGAAAAGCAGCAACTCTCTCCTTTCCCTGTGTGTCAGTGAAAACCGTCCTGCAAATAAAGAGGCTGGGCCCAGGGACCTGTTTCTTTCTGTGTGTGCGGAGCTGGCTGCCTGGTGTGTTTTCTGGGTGACTGGGGAGGGCGGGGTGACTCTCGATCCCCATTGTCTGCAATCTTAGGTTTGGCACAGGCTGCAAGTGACAGGAATCCAGCTGGAGCTGAGTTGGTCAAAAAGGGTAATTCATTAGCCTCAATCACTGAGGTGACAATAGTTATAACTAGGGTTCTTTGGCCCCAAGCAATAGAAACCTTAAGAAAAAAATGGATTTATCGGAAAGCGTATTAGTATCAGTAGGCATAGTATTTCCTGTGGTTGCCGTAACAAATGACCACCAATTTGATGGCTTCAAACAACAGAATTATTCTAATCATTTTGGAGGCCAGAAATTCAAAATCAAGGTGTCCCCAGGGTGCACTCTCTCTGGAGGCTCTCGGGGAGAACGTTCTTCTGGCCTCTTCAAGCTTCCAGTGGTTGCCAGCGTGGCTTGGCTTGTGGCTGCGTCACTCCTGACGCTGCCTCTGCCATCCCAGCACTGTGTCCTCTGGGTGTCCCATCTCCCAGTGCCCCCTCTCTCACAAGGGGACCTGTGACGGTATTTAAGGCCCACTCGGATAAGCCAAGATGGTCTCATCTCCAGATCCTTAACCACATCTGCCCAAAGACCTTTCTCCCAAATAAGGTAACATGCACGGGTTCCAGAAATGAGGACATGGATGTGTCTTGGGGACCACCAGTCAGCCCGCTACAGAAGAGTGTTGAGGTTCACCCAGACAGAGGCAAAGCCGGCCAGCCGGCCAGGCCCCAGGGGATACGGGGATGAGAGCGCCTACGGGCCACAGTGCAGGACCCGGGGACTCTCAGTGCAGGACACTGCCGTCCAGATGACCCTCCTCCGATCGCTTCCTTCCCTGGGTCATTCTGCTCCCAGTCCCGATCCCAGGACACGGGTTGGTTTGCCCAGCTTGCATCATATCCTGTCCCTTGGTGGGGACTGGGGACAGAGTCCCTGGATTAACATCTACAACAGATCACGTGGGATGGAAGAAAGGTCGTCACCCAAAGAAAAGGCCACGTGACGTCACCAAAACAAAGGGGAGAGAGGTCAACAGGCAAAGATAGGACATTTCCACTACATTCCAGCTCTCGGCTGCCCGGCACACCTTCCTGCTGCACACACAGCTTTGTAAGTGTTCCCAGCGTGAGGAGATGATCGTGTGACCTCACCAGTGCAGTAGGTCAGTCTGCTGTCTGTGGTGTGTCAGGGAGCCGGAGTCTTTGTGACACAGAGCGGGAAGGGCACCGAGGTTTCCCTGAGTGGACAGTAAAGGAAAACTCCTTTCCAGCAGAATGCTTCCTGTGGTTTGTTTCTTGGAATAGACAGTGAGACCAGTAGATGCCTCTCAGCTCCAGGGGCTGTAGTGAGACGTGCATAGCTAATGCAGCAGCTACTGCTGGAACTGCCCCTTGATTGAAATAACCTCCTGCCAAGACCCATCCCATCTGGCACCAGCCAAACGGGGGGCTAATGGCGCTTTCACGGGAGCCGTCCCTCTGTGGGGTCCAGTGGAGGCGCAGGTGTCTGTAGCCTTTCTAAAGACATGGTACTGCTGTTCTGTTTTGTCCTGGAACAGTTGCTCAACTGGATTCTATTGGCCTTTTATATCATAATGGCCCCCATGGGTCGAGGAGCCACGTGGGCATCTTTTCAAATTCTCGCTCGTTAACTGCAGAGAGAGGACAGCTCTGGGACCTCATAGACCCCCAGTGACACGGGAAGAGGTCAAAACACTTTTTCATACGATCGGTGGACCTATAGGGTCCTTTCGGACACAGGAAACTGGTATTGGCTCCAAGGGTACATCCCAGGTTCCCTGAGACTGGAGTGTTTACTTTAGCACCCAGTTGCCCTGGTCCGTGGTCACAGGTCCTCTTGGAGAAGGTGGAAACACTCACATTACCTGCGTGTAGCAGCCGTACAGCCGTCCTTCCTCAAGGGCAAGCGGCGTGTGTTTCACCCAAAGGGCTTGAGCTCAATGACCAAACTCAAGGCCAGGTGTTCAGTGATGCTCTGCACCTGCCATGGTGGCTTAGGTCAGGACTTTGGTTAGTTTGTCTGTTTGCTTTAGAGAATGCTTTTGGTTTTTGTTTTGCTTTGTTTTGTTGGTTATACAAATCATGTAAGACTTGCGTGGTTACTTCCAACTAAACTTTTTAGGGTCCTCTGGCCTGAGGTCTTGCCTCACACAGAGCCCGCTGAATATGGCCGTTCCCACTCAAGTTCTGAGGGTCAGATGCCAACCAACACCTCTGCCTCCTTCCCCTCCTCAGATATCAGGGAGCCCCTCCCCCCAGCACTCTTGGTCTAGACTTCCCTCAAAGCCAGGGTCAAGTGTTCTGAGTTCACTGAGGCCACAGGTAGAGGTATTTGCAGGAAGGAGACACCAGACCGATCCAGTCCAGCGTCCCTGTCTGCAGAAACCTTTGGGTCCTTTCTCCTGTGATGCCAAGGGATTTGGGGCCTTTAAATTCCACTTCACGTGGGCCAGCCTTTGGTCCAAGTTTGCACTGGCCAGACCATCAGTAGTGAGAGGCCAGCCAGCTCCTGGCGCGAGCAGGGGGATTGCAGAACCCCTGGTCCTGGCATGTATGCAGGGCCCAACGTTACATGTCCCCCTTCCTTCTTCGCCACGAAAACCCGCTCCCATGAATACTCCGCACATTTCTCCTGGTACCAGTGAACAAGTTTCTGCACTTTTGTATGGCTCCAGGAGTCTTTCCTGCTCACCTGGAGTCTATGCTTCACCCTCTAGGCCCCAACTGATGCCCGCCTTCCAGCTGGGCAGCCCCGAGGGGTGGGGCAGGCAGGCTGGCTCTTGGGAGCTTTCCCCAGTAAGGAAGGGTGGAGCTGCTCCCACTGTGTGGTTTGGATCACCTGGGAGTCCCCCCACGTGTTCTCACAGAGCCAGTCCGCCTGCTCTCCTCCCAAATAAATGCTCCTGCTGTCAACGCCTGACTTCACCAAAGTGCCTCAGGGCTGTGGACTCAGGCCCCTGCACCACCGACCGCCAGCTGTGGCTCGGGGCTCTCAGCCCCACTGCCGCCGAGTCACTCGAGTCCTTCCCCTCAGTCACGGAAGGGCCCTCTGTTGCATCCTGCACCCGAGTTGTCTTGGGCTGGCCTTGTCGCCTTTCCCTTGACGTTATCCTGTGCCGTCAGAAGTGAAGCGCTCTGTCCCACAGCCTCAGCTCCTTAAAACTGGACTGTGACAGAAGCTCCAGAGAAGCTCCTCGGACGCCCCAGCAGAACCGACCGCCACCCCCTCCTGTGTCCCCAGGCTGCGCACTTCCTCCCATCGCGTCAGTGTCTCCAGTGTGGTCCGTGTGTGTCTGACGGACTACCCGGCTAGTCTGCAAGGGCTGCGCCTTGTTCGTCTTTACACCCGTGCCAACTAACTCGGTACCTGGCACACGGCGGGTGCCCAGCAGAAGTTTCCTCCCCATCCTGCTACCTTTCCCCTGGCTTTGGATTCCAGAGTAAACTCGACACGAAGTCACTGTCATGATGAAGGTCCTGACACCATTATTTAGGTTACAGATGGAGGGTCTCATTTTTTAAAAAAATAGTCTGTGGTCTGAAAGACAGTTTATTTAAAACAAAGGTGACAAGGCATAAGAAGAAGGAAGGAGAGAAACAATTCCAACACAAAGGCACCTAGGAAGCATCTCAAATAAAAAAAGAAAACAAAACGGGGGGGGGCAATGAAGGAAGCGATGTCTTGTCCATATACAAACTGCTGACTTCGCGATTATGTACATCCAAACCCTATAAAACAGCATTTCAAGTCAGCACTTAAGCCAGTGTTATATTAGTTTTTGTTACAAAAAGGTAAAGCTACAAAATTCACATTTTGAAGTTGTACACCTGCAACAGCATTTTTTTTCCCCAAGTTGGTCTCAGTGCAAGCTGGTGGAAGAAATTATTTTTCCCCAAACACAAGTTAAGAACACGAGTCCCAAAGATGACAAACACGGACGTGGCGGCCGAGGAAGGCTGCGGTGGGCAGCTGCGGGCAGCAGGGGGACTTCCCGCTGGAGGAGGAGCTGCGATCTTTAGAGGCCACGTGGTTGGCTGGGGGGCGGGGCGCTGCAGTCGGAGGCAGAACTGACTCTGGGTCCTCACTCTGCCGTATTCCAGGTCCGTCACCACCTTGAGCAACGGCTCCCCGAGCCTGTTTCCTCTTCTGTAAAAGGGGACAAGGACACCCCATCTCCCAGAGCTATTAAGTTCTAAGATACAGGGCAACTCAGAGGATCTGTTTCTTCTTGAGTGTAGTACTTTGTGTCTTTCAATTACTTTGTCCATTTCATCTACCCTGTTGAATTGATTAGCATAAAGTTGTTCATGATACGAGCCTTTTAATATCTATAGGATCTATCAGGACCTCTCTCATTCCTGATATTGGTAAGAGCTATTGAGTTTTAAATGCTAGGTGCTAAATAAATGTTACCTGGATCGGAGTGTATAGTCTCAAGAAGCGAAGGCTGTATTTCTTAAGTTGCTTCAGAGCAGAGTCGGCCTGCCTGTCTACCTGGCCAGCCAAACATTCATCCACCAAACCCATGGTTGGGAAAAGGGACAATGGAAAAAGAAGAATAAAAATTTACCCTGTCAGTAGGAAACAAACACGCCTTTTCAGGAAGTGGAACTGATCACAAAGAACTTGGTTTCTGGCAGAGGACCCTGTCCGGCCAGACCGGAGAGCCACGTACCCCGCTGGGTCAGCGTGTCCGGTATGCCCACGCCTGGAACAAAATCATCCCCAGATCGAAATCCCGGAATATTTATGGGGAAAAATGGAAAACTTCTTTCACTTAATCTAGTTTAGGACGGGAGAAAATGCCTTCCTGTTGGGCCAAGTGTGAAGTCCTTTTTCAAAAGGAAAGAGACCCAGGCAGGACTGTTCCTTAGCACAGCAGGTGGTGTGTGTGTGTGTGTGTGTGTGTGTGTGTGTGTGCGTGCGTGTGTGTTCCAGGGTCGGGGGAGCCTGCTCCATGATCTAGTTTTTCAAACTCGCTTGGCTGCCACACTTGACTACTAATTCAGCTGTCTCCCTACTGAAAAATGCCCGGGACGAGTTATTTAGCCTGTGTGAGAAGGGGAGGGTACTTCATTTTAAACAGACTTTCCTGTAAATACTGGTCCCACAGAGGGTCCCTACACACCCTCATCCTACCACTTATTAGCCGCGCTGCTTGGGCAAGAACACTGCCCCTCTCCGAACCTGCTTCTTCATCTAAGAAATGGAGACGAAGCACTCGACTTGCACAGAGGACGTGGGACTGGGGGCGGACGGCAGGAGCCGCCTGTGCCCTGCGCCCGGCAAACCGTAGGCGGCCACTCGCCACTCCAGTGGGCACCTCCCATGGTCCTCTCTTCTCTGTGTCTGCCTTGGAGCTGCTTTACTGGCCACGCCCTGCAGACCGACAGCTGCCTCTTGCATTTTTTAAAACTTGCTTTAATTGCAGAGAATACAATCTGGCCGCGTAAGAACATTCCCTGACTTTCCATTGATTCCCAGATTTGGGGAGCAGAAGTAATTATGGAGCCCAACTGCAGTAACCTTAGGTGCAGCCCAGGCCTAGCCCCTACCTGAAAGGAAGAGGTATTTGAAAATAAACATACATTTGCCTTTCCCAAGGGTCTCCTCTTTGCTGTGTGACTAAATGACAGGCGGCCTGAGCCGACGCTGCAGAAGGGCTCAGTGCTGTCTTTTGCGAGCCTCTGCTCTGCTTTTGGCCCTAAATCTGCCTGCACGAGACCTGGCTGCCACCCAGCAGACGGTCCAGAGGCCACGGAATGGCTCACCCGGGACCATCTGGCTCCCCCGGGACCTCCTCATAGTCTCGCCCACTGAAGTGACAGAGCAAGAGCCCGTTCCCATTGGTAGGCTTCCCCGAACAACTGAACCTAAATGGACACAGGATTCTTCCCTCGGAGAAGGGGCTGCGTGGGCAGCGAACCAGGTGAGGAGCCCAAGGTGAGTCCTAGCTCCTGTGTCACCTTGCTTTGTGACTTTGGCCCTGCCACCCCCCCAACCTCTAGCCTCCATCAAATGACATCTAGGGTCCCTTCCAGCTCTGGCATTCCACATGTCTGGGTTGAGGCTCCTCCAGAACAAATCTTAGTCTGACATTCGCTATCTTTTCCAGACCCCTTAGCTATAGAAATTAAAAGAAAAAAAGTCACACATTTGAATGTAGATCACACGGTCAATGCCCTCTACCCTGTAAGGAATGTGGCACAAAACGCCATGTGTGTGACCTTCCCAGGAACAGCGCGAACCTGGAAAGCCCCCTCCCTTTTGCGGACTGAACCCGGCCCCGTGTTTGCTGAGGGTTCCCTGAAGGCCTGTCCCCTTGCTGGGGGGGTCTCGTCCCCTGTAAGGCACTGGGCAGTATCTGCGCTGCGGCTCTGGGCAGTTGGGAGAGTGAAGGTGGACAAAAGGCGCTGAAACCGCAAAGGCCAATTTTCAGTGAGGGCGCCAGGCTTCTCCTGGGACTCAAAACATCACCGTGACCCCCGAGGCGTTCCCTGGGACGTCCCCTCCAGCTCCCAAAGCCGGGGGTGGCTTGCACGAGGCTGAAACCGTGGGGAAAACTGGCCTGAACCTCATTTTTAAATGCAGCCCTGCCAGAGGGTGAGGCTGGTTCCCGGGAGGCAAGCGACCCTGAGGGCGCCTGGTGGCCCCGCCCTCGGGTCCCACAGTACCGTAATCTTACAGAAAAGAGGCAAACTGTTGAAAATTGTACCTGTACAGAGATGCCACCACGCTGAGTGGGGAATCTAGCGATAATTTATACAAAGGCATATTTATAGTTTTCTAAAAAGTCTTCCAGAAAGAACAATTGAAAGCTATTGGGAGAAGACGCACAACAGACCATGTAAAACTGTTCCAGCTGTCACTCGACCAGGAGCCTCTGTTCCTGGGGTTTAAAACTCGGAGCGTAAAAGCGCCAGCGGGAGTCCTTTGTGTTGGTTCACCTGACCAAGTAAGACCCACGCCCCAGGCAGCCCTTCCCTCTGGCGCATGTTCCTGAGTTCACAAAGGTGCTGTGGGGAGACAAGGGCGCGGAAGTGGTGGCCAGCGAGCTCTAGTGGCGACCGTCCTGTGCTCACCAGAGAACATGTGGCCTGGGCCCTCCTGGCCTGGCCCTGCTCAGAAGTTCTGCTGCCGCCGCTTCTTGGCCTCAATGGCGTCCAGGATGGGCTGCCGCTTCGACTGGTACTTCTGCCGGATCTCTTCGATCTCCTGCTCCATCATGGGGTCGAGGGCCAAGAGCCTCTTCCGAAGGTCCTCCACCGTCCAGCTCTTAAGCTAGAAGAGAAGTGGAAAGTGTGGTCACAGAAGAGCCTGGATCAGTGGCCGAACGGCAGGGAAGCCAGCCTTCACAGGTGCCCCAGGGGAGGGAGACAGGAGGGGGACACCTGGTCACAGCGAGTTTGGGGTGGCAATGGTCAGAAAGTGATGGCACCAAGCTTTTCTGAGACAATCGATCTCTGTAAGGGGGCGGAGTTCCGATCTCTGCCGGATAGGGCCTCCACCAGGAACTTAATGCCTCACACTTTCAGCTTCCCTCCCTTCTAGCTCACTGGCAGGCATTAAAGGAGCCGTGACTTGATGTGAGCAAAACAATGGCTGCCTCCTAGTGCCTGTCTGCCCAGCAGAGGGGCATGTGGATGGTGACCACACCAGCGAGGCCAGATGCAGCCCAAGGATCCGATGCTCTCCCCACCTCTGCCATACTCGTCACCGCGATGTTCACTGGGGACACTCAGACGGCAGGCCTGACTCCGAACACTTTCTATGGATTATCTACACAGTGTTGTAGGAATACAGACACAGCTGGGGGTGGGGTTGGAGAAATGACTTAAGTGTGTCATTTCCCCTGTTACAGATGACAAAGCCCATGGAGAGAGTGGGCACAAAGAGAGTAGGCGAGCAACTTGCCCATGTCTCAGGGCTGGTCAGGGGCAGAGTGGATTCAAACCCAGAGTCCACACCCTTAACCAGCATCGCAGAAGGAGCTGTTCACCCAAAGCGCAGGCTTTACAGCCAACTCAGCCCCACAGAACACACGGCTCCGCCCCCTGCAAGTGCCCCACCCTCGGGCAGGTGGCCGACCCCCCGGCCTTCCCCATCTACGGAAGTGGGTGGCAGTGTCTCCGCAGCTGTGTCCCCAGAACTCAGTGAGAGCTGGCCTGTGGGGTTGTCAGCACAGGGCCTGGGGCTCTGCGCTTACAGATGGCGCTGCGTGTGGCGACCCTCTCCCTCCGCCGCAGCCCAGGCGCCCACCGCGATCGACCTGTGCCTGTGGCTTCCATGCACGTGGAGTCTTCACTGAATCCAGCAAGGCCAGGCCGGGCTGGCAGAGTGGGAATGAAAGCGGTACTATCTGTGGCAGGTGGCAATCCATTCTGTGAGCTCACAACCCTTTAATAGGTCCCGGTTTCAGGAACTCAAAAGGCTCACTCAGTCTTAGCAGAGATTTACAGAATCGTCACTTCCCTTACCCCTTGCCAGGGCCCCGGCAGGGAGGTGGTGCAGGTAGGTGGGTGAAGGAGCCTCTTTCTGTCCCCCCTCCTGCAGAGAGTGGGTGTGAGTGAGTGTGGAGGGCTACGGTGGCCTCCCCAGAAACAGTTCGGTGACCTGTCACCACAGGAATGTCCCTTGGCCCACTCCAGGCAGGCAGCCTGGGCAGTGAGGAAAAGCCTAACGGTTTAAGACCAAAGGCTCTTTGTGATGTGAGGGTGGAAAGACTCGGGAGCGTGGGGACATGCTGGGAAGTCGGGCTGGAACAGGCACCTTCCTTTCCAGCCGCAGTTTTATACCATCTAGGCGGCTGGTGTTCTTGGCCCGGGACACCCTGAAAAGTGATGCTCGCCTAGTCTTCAGCTTTTTCAACTCCTCCAGAGACCACCCTGAACCTCATACTGCATGTGATGTGAGGGACTTCACCCTCCGGATCGCACATCCTGAACCGCTAGTGGCTGGGTCACCATGGACCGCCCCCTTCGAGCCTCAGTTTCCCCCCCAGAGAATGGATGATACCAGTTCCTCCATCCTGGGGCTGCGTGTGGACTGGATGAGTTCAGGGTGTGATGCTCTTAAGCTCAGCGCTTCGCAGAGCACCTGCGTGGCCGGCGGTAAGGATTCCGGAAATGGCAGCAGTTCTCAGTGCTGTTACTAATAGCTGTTACCGCTGCTATTATTAATAGTATTGTGAGTATTATGTTATTAAAAAGTCTCTCTTCATCGCCCACAAACAAGCTGTGGCCATAACCTCTGATCTCAGCCAGAATCAAAGGAAAAAGAAAATACCCTCCATTATTTTAGGCTGCAATATTCTATGCTAAGGGTTGGCACTTTCCCACACGGCCCACTAACTAACAGTTCAACAAAGTATTTTTCACCCACCTGTCTGTTTATCAAATATTCCCTGAACACCTCCTATGGGCCAGGCACTGTCCAAGGCACACAGGGTACCTGGAGGGACATTCCTGTGGTGACAGGCCCCTGACCCCTTTCCGGGGAGGTCACTGTAGCCCTACACGCTCACTCGCACCCTCTAAAGGAAGGGAGAGTGGTTTTTTCAGTGAAAACAACAAACACGAAAACCAGTGTCCTTGCGAAGCGAACGTTTCGGTGAGGCAAGACAGACAGACAGACCGCCGCACAGTCAGTTCCTGTACATCAGAAGGTGACAGGTGCTTTGACAAAGTAAGAAACAACACAGTGAAGGAGGAGCTGGGAATTCGGGGGACACTTGCTTCACCCATCGTTAGCACGCGGAGTTGACTGCAAAACCAAGAAATGCGAGTTAGCAGAACTGCGCTGGCTTTCCGGCTCATTCTGTGACTCAACGGCAGGCCCCTGCTCCGTATGCCCGTCTCCCCATTTAAGAGAGGGCTGCCTAGACCACCCCCAAAGGTCTTGTTAAACTTGATGTCCCTCAAAGTGTCATCATGGGTCACCTGCACCAGTCACTTGGTGAGAAGACAGGCTCCCGAGCCCCCGACCCAGAGCTACTGATCAGACTCCCCCCACCCCAAAGGGGGTGAGGCACAGTGGGGGTTCAGCACTTTGTGTGCTAAGGAAGCCATCCAGGCTTGGTATGCACGATTCTGCATCTTCCCCCGTTTTCCTGGTAGCAAAATTCTCACAAAGTAACTGGCCTGTCTCTGGTGGAACGCTTCTTCTAGGTTTCCAATTTCTACGTGGCTTTTTTGCCCTTGATGCGAATACGGGACCACAACGAGCTCCCTTGCTCTATCTCAGCTGCCTTCAGAGCAGACTTGCCCAAAGCCCTTTGCAGCTTAAGTTACACCTGACCTATTAGAAACAGCCAGCCGGTCACTGCTAATGACTCGGTCACAACGTCCAGATATGGATTTTTCTGAAAACAAGCTCAGAGAAAGGTTCTTTGGCGCCAAGTATAGCATTTCACCTTCCTGGCCGTGGGAGGCATAAATAAGTGCCCAGGGGCTGTCTGCAGTAAAATGACTGTGGTTCTACCGCTTTGCTACAGCCAGCACCCCGGAGGAGCAAATTCTCAGACTAGCCACGTAGGCAGCTTGAACGTCGTCACAAGTTAAAGGAAATGCCGCCATTTAGTACGTCGTCCCCTAGGATTTAAACATCCCCCCTGTGCTGTGACTCCCAGTTATGTCTCTAGACCAGAATTCTCCGAGCTCGGCTCACACGTCCGGACCAGATCCCACTGGATGGCTCAGTCCCCGACAGCCAGTCCACCAATCTGATGCTAGTCTGCCACTCAACACTGCTAGAGTGAAGCTCTGGAGTCCCGCCCCTTCCTCACCCCCGGCCTCTTCCCTTAGACCCCAGTCTTCCCACCTCAGGGTGCCCAGGTCATCCCTGGGTCTTCCCCTGCCCTCACGCCCCACCTGTCCAAGTCCACCTTCAATCGGATCTCTGAAATACAAGTGTAACCCACATCCAACGACTCCAGTTCCTCTCCACCTCCAACCCCTCCGTTCAGGCCCCCACTCTCTCATAGCAACAAATGTTGTGGACGCTCTGCCTGGCTTCAGGAGTCGTAACTACCTGCCATGGCTGAGGATGAGCAAGTGACCTCCGGAATGTGAGCCACAGGAGACAAAGCTTGCCTCTGGTAGCAAATGCTGTCTCAGTGTCCTCCCTGCCCCCAAAGCACGGTTGGAAGTCAATAACAGGTAAGACCCCTCGGAGAGGGGCAACCGAAGCCAGACTCATCACTTGGGAGGCCTTCATGGAAGGACTCCGGGGCAGGGGGCTGCAACAAAGAGTGAGCAATGGACCCTTGCCCTCCTGTGGTGACATGGCCCAAGTCCCCATGTCCCCCGGGAAAAGCACTTCCTGGCTCTAGTCCACTTAAGCCTGAATACCTCATGGGGAGGGGTGCAGCTCCTTGCCTGGCTGGAGCGGATCCCAGGGGAAAAATCTGGCATCACAAAGAATTCTTAAAAAATCTGTGAAACCTGCTCTGCTAACAGTGCTTTCATTCATACGTTAAGGGTCTGAGCAGGAAACTCTAAAGTTTCTGCAAACTCCCTTCCTGACAGACTCTGACTCAGACTAAGCCCTCAGATTTCTCTGAAATGTTCCGTACTGTTTGATCCTTGCTGCCCTGTATTCCTGCCTATTACAACCCAATAAAAGCCCCTGGAGGACGGGGCTCCAGGCCTTTTTCCTCTGAGAAACTGGCCACCTCTCCTCCCCAAGCAGATCGTGTCTTGGTAGTGTTTACTTTCACCCGTGGTGGAGGGGGGGGCCTTGTGGGAAAAGTCGCCTCCACAAATGAACATAGTTAAAAATATAGACATGAATTAATCACTTCACCCTTGTTTCCTACTACACTTAGAATGAAACCCAGTAGCTCACGAGGGCTTCGAAGGCCCACACCTCGGCCCCCCGGCCGCCCAACTTCATCATGTCCGACCTCCTGCCCTTCGCTCTGACCCTCTCGCCACAGTTTAGTTTAGATCCTCAAGCAGGCCACGCCTTTTCCGGCCTGGGGGGAAGTGATCCTTCTCCTCGAGGGCCATCGCCATTCTTCCTTGTCCCCCAGGTGTCCGGTTCTCCAGCCGTCCGATCCGGAAAGGCCGCCTCCTCTCCACCACCCTCTCTCTCAGCCCCTAGTTAATGTCCTTCATACCAGTCACACACCTTGTCATCACCCTCATTTATTTTTCCTTTACTCGTCTCTCTTCCCAGGACAAAAGCCCCATGGAGGCAGTGACTTTGTCTTGTTCACGATGCTGAGCGTAACCCTGGTGACGGAGCAGAAAAGTGCCCCTCGTTCCCAGCCTGCGGTGAAG